CCCAGCTTCCCTTTGGGACGGCTGGGCTCCGAGTCACCAGTGAACAGGCTCCTTATTCCTTTTGCACCGTGGGCTTCCTTGTTGCCCCGGACAAAAGGCAGGCCTTGTTGGGAAATGAAGGGATGCTGCCAGGCCTCTCCTGTGCCTCCGTTTTCCTGCCGGCCAAGCCAGCCCTGGTTCTTCCAGCGGCTCTTTTGCTGATGGCAATTCCTGCTCCTTTCCCCTCCAGTCATGCCGGCAGCACCCTACTGGGTCCTCTCCACAGACTACGAGAACTACACGCTGATCTACTCCTGCACGAATTTCCTCTGGCTCTTCCATGTGGATTACGCCTGGATCATGTCCAGAACCCGCCAGCTGCCCCCGGAGACTGTGGAGCACCTCAAGAGCACCCTGCATTCCTACAAGATTGAGACGGCTCGCATGATGCCCACCGACCAGGAGAACTGCCCATCGGACATGTAGCCTGCAGAGGCCCCAACCAGCCCTGGACTCTGCCTGCTCCTCCTCGCTAGCTACTGCTTTGTCTTGACCAGCACAGTCTTTGGGCTCGTGTAGTCTGCCAGCCCTCAGGCCACCGGGACGGGTGGGAAGGCCCTGCGCCTGCTGCCTTGTGGCACCCACCTGTCCTGGGGAGGACCTTGCTGGAGTGTCCTGCTGCCCCCTTCCGCACTGCTGTTTCCGGGTTAAAATCTGTCTCAAGAGTAAAGCGAGGATCTTGGAGGAGGCTGCCAGTTGCTTCCTGGAGGGTTGGGAACCTGGGGCCACATTCCAAATTCTCTTGTGAGGAAACTTCAGTTTTTCTGCTTAGAATAAACTTGCCTAATCAAGCAACTTGCATCTATACAGCTCCTGATTTTCCTTCATTTATTGTGTCTTGCTATGGTGCTGAAATTGCGGGGGGGGGGGCGCCTTGGAGTGAGAACCCCTCACTCCTTTGGAACTTGCACCTCAGAATTTCCAGAACCCCAAAGGGTGTGTTTGTTTCCGACCTCCTTGCAGCCTCTTTGGGGCTGTCAGAGGCTGAGCCAAAGGTGGGTGGTTGAGATGGGTGCTGACAGTTGTTGTCAGTCCTGCTGAAAAGCCGTGTCTAGACCTCCTCACTGCCGTTTAGAGGCAAACCATCTGGTCCTCTGCTGAGATGTGCATTATCTGGCAGCCTGCCTGGTAAAGTGACAGGCTGGGGGCCCAAGAGGAGTAAAGAGACGGGGGCCAATTGCAGCCAGCTCCACAACGGGCCCTTCTCCCTGCCGCCTCAGCTTTGCAAACATAGCCCCTGGTGCTGTGTTTTCTTGGCCAGGGGCTTTCTGGAGCTCCAGTGATAAACACAAGGCATACAAAATATGTAAAAACACCTCAACAATTGATTTGCAGTTTAGGAGGGACCAGTTACGGTTGAGGTAGTTACAGGTGAGAAATAACGGCTGCCCTGAGGCCACCCAGTGAGGATCAGGCCCAAGTGGAAATGTGCCCCCCACCCCCGTCATAAGCCTCAGTCACATGTCAGAGTTCATGGTTAACGCTGAATGTGAAGCCAGTGCAAGCAGGAAACCACAAGCCTCTGTTTAGCGTGGGGACCACTCAGGAGACTGTGGTTTGCTTCACTCCAGGCAAACCACCGTCTGAAACCTGAATCCCTGGGCCTGGCTTGTTTGAGGGTAGCCAGCTAGGGACCCTCTACCTCCCTTATTAATTGTGCATTCCTAGGGATTGGTGCTCATCATGGTTTCAGGGAAGTAATACATGATCCTGCTCTCAATGCTCTTTACGCCTGCAAGAGTTTCTGGGCAGAGACGCCGCTTCGTTTCCTCCCAGGGCCCCCCCAGAGTGTCCTGCTCAATTCCTGTAACTTTTCATACTACAACTAAACAGTTTGCCGTGCCACACAAACCTGCCTGTAGTTCCAGCACTCATGTCTGCCACACCAGTAATGGCTGCCGGTGCAGAAGCTGAGCTGAGCTTGAGGAAGAAGAGCTCATGGAACATTCACTGCTCCAGAAGTTTGTAAGTAGGGACACTGGCCGCTTCCTCACCTGCCCACCTTCTCTAGGCAGCTGCTGGGTCTTTGAGCAACCAAGCTGATCTGCCGAGTGGGCCTGGAGCGCCACCCAGTGGCTTGCCAGGAGCCAAGCACCTGGTGCTCCAGAGCACTTCAAGAGAGTTGGAGCAGGGTCTGCAGGGCTGTGTGGAATCAGGATCCTGCCTCTGGCCTCCTCTGGGTTGCTTATTCTCTAAATAATAGCCAGCTGGGCTCTGCCACCACCCAGGGCCAAAGCCCTTCCAAGCTGGCTCACACAGAAAGTCAAAATGCAAAATGCCAATAAAATTAACTTACCGTATTAAGACTATAAAAATAAAGCAGGAAGCTGTTAACATTCTGGCACATCTCCCCATGAGCTTTTTCTCATCTGCATATATTTGCCTTAGCTAACATGCCACAAGCAGCAATTGAGGGCCCAAAACTAAGGAGAACAGCAATATTTTAGAAACCTGATGATTCAATCTCCATATGGCCAAATCAGTATTTTTGAAGCAGAGAGCAAATGGCTTTTGGGTGAAGCACATGTGTGCCATAGCAGGAATAGTCAGAGGAGAGAGGGGGAGGGATTCCTTCCTGTGAGAGGAGAAATCCTTCCTAAAGAAATGCCAGTTGCCACCTGCCATTTTTGTAAGGACCTGCATTCCAAGCAATACATATGCAGAGAGAGAGAGAGAGAGAGAGAGATCTGCTACCTGGGGTACTTTTGCAGCTGATGGGAAATGGCTGGATGGATTGAACAGACAGAACACAACTTTCAGTCCCTGGAAATTCAAATGCAGCCCCAAAGGCACAAATTCCTGGTTTGCCCAGGAGAAAACGGGCAGCGCAGCAACCCTGTGGCTGGCCAAACCTGTCTCTTCTTGCTGGAGGACTGAGAAGTCCCTGCAAAAAGCTGCTCTCCCTCTACCAACCTAGAAGGCACCCTCTGGAACCTGACGCTGTGGCTTCTGGGTCCTACTCCAGATCCAGCCCTGAGCTCCCCCCAAACTCCCAGCTGTTCAAAGACAACCTTGGCTCAGATCTGGCCACCAGTTATGAAAGAATCCCATTTTCCACAGACCATCAACAGCCATCTTGGTCGCTCTAAATATTTTGACCTTTCCGCAGCTACAGTGACCTGCGCTTAGCTCAGCATCATGCAGGGACAAATGCCATGGCTTCCTCTGGGAGTCAGCGAGACTCACACTAAAGGTAAAGGTACCCCTGCCCGTACGGGCCAGTCTTGACAGACTCTGGGGTTGTGCGCCCATCTCACTCAAGAGGCTGGGGGCCAGCGCTGTCCGGAGACACTTCCAGGTCACGTGGCCAGCGTGACAAAGCTGCATCTGGCGAGCCAGCGCAGCACACGGAACGCCGTTTACCTTCCCGCTGGTAAGCGGTCCCTATTTATCTACTTGCACCCGGGGGTGCTTTTGAATTGCTAGGTTGGCAGGCACTGGGACCGAGGATCGGCAAGCCCTAGGCGCTGAGGCTTTTACCCACAGCGCCACCCGTGTCCCTCACACTAACCCTGCCTTTATCCCCCTTGGCTCTTCCTCAGTTGGGGGTGGGGGCGGCAGTCTGGTGCCACCCCTGGGGATTCTGTGTTAGCCCTCCTGGCTGCATGTCTGCCAAGTGCCATCCCACAGCACTGTACCTTTCCCAGTCCAACAGGAACACCTCGCCCTCACTCAACCGCAACACCTGCCTCGGGGAACCTGCTGCCACACAGCCTGACTCTCTCCCAGGTGACTGAAATGAAGCCACTGCCTGATTGCCCACTCACCCTGGTGCTGTGTGACGGATGTGCACAGGGCTGGCCCCTCCATGAGGCAGCCGCCTCAGGTGGCAGAATCTATGGGGTGCCTCCATGAATGCCCTCTACCACCACCCTTGGGGAGGGTGGTTGGGGCGGCTTCCAGACTCGGGTGAGATCTCAGAAGAGCCCCATGAGAGGCCTCTGCACAATCTTGTGGGGCTCTCCTGAGATATCGCCAGAACACACAGCTGCGCACGCCGGTGAGAGAGGCTTTGGTGGGGCGGCAAGGGGGAGGCGGGCTGAGCGTGTGCAGGACAGCAGCTTCCCATCTCGCCTCAGGTGGTGAAACAGGATGCATGTGACCTTTATTTATTTTATCCTATTTATTTAATTTCTATACCACTGGTTCACGGCATAAAACTACAAGCAGGGGCAGGGGAGCTGGCAACCCGGGAGCCCGGCCATGCGGCCACTGCGTGGAACTCATCCGAACCGCTCAAGGGGAAGAGGCCTGCCTGGGCAATTTTGTGCTCGGACGAGAGAGACTGGCAGTCCCCCCCCCCCGAGCTCCCAAATGATCTGATGAGCCAGGCTCAACCCGGCCATTATCTCAATCACTCCAGCAAGCCGGTCGATCGGTTTGGGCAGGGCTGACAGCTGGCAAGATGATGCGGTCGTCACTGCTTGCAAGGGAACAGGCAGCGACACGGCGTCCTGATTAGCAGCCAAGCAGGGCGGGATGTTCTCCTGCCTGGAGCTGCTCTGCCCCTTTGATGCCGCGTCCCCTGAAGGGAGATGGCCGACTTGTTCAAGCTGTTCTGACAGCAGAGCGGCAAACCCTAATCCCCTCGCGCACCCGCCCATGGGCCTGTTAGCCCAGCGCCTGGCAGCCAGCAGGGAAGCCCTGTGACGGCGGTCATGGAGGACCGGAGCCGGGGGGGGCACAGGCTGCCAGGGGAGCGGGCTCCGCACCCATCTGGACAGGCTCCTCCTGGGGCAGAGCTGGCAAGGCCCTCAAGGAGAAGGGCCCCGCCTGCCCGGCCTTTTCTTCGAGGCCAGCCTGGCACGCAGGCGGAGGAATGTGCCCCTCGCCAGTCCCAGGGGTGCTGGGGTGGGCAGAGTGGTCTGCAGGCCCACTGAGCCACGGGCCGCCCAGGCTGTCCTACCTCACAGGGTGGTTGTGAGGACAGAGTTCAGGATGAGCCTCCTCGGGGGTCCCTTCCAGCCCTCCTATGAATGGGAAGGCGGGACACGCGCCCTCCGCTGAGGGGCCTCCGGGCGAGGGGAGCCTGGTGCGCCTCCCTCGGGGCCTCCGCTCTCACCGCCTCCTTCCGGGCGAGGCCCGGCAGGCCCACCTCGGCTCCAGGCCGGCCAGCGGGGCCAGAGCCCGGGGCCCCCGCGGAAAGGGCTCCTCGCCTCCCTGCCTGGGCCCCGCCTGGCGCGCCTGCACTACAACTCCCGTCATCCTGCGGGGGCGGCGCGGGGGCCGACGGGAGCTGCCTTCCCGCCGCGTCCGGAGGGCGGAGGCCGCCCGGTTCTGAGGCGCTGGCCCAGGCCGAGTCGCGTCCAATGGCAGCGGTTGCTGTCGTTTGGGTTGCGCAGGCGCAGTTTGCGTTGGGCGGCGCGTTCTACATCCGGGCTTCCGGACGTCCCGCCTCTCGCGCGCTCGGCGCATGCTCAGAACGCCGCCGCCGCCGCCGCCCGGCTTCTGAGGCGAAAAGGGAGGGAAGGGAGGCGGCCCCGCCCCGCGCCCCGCTTGTGACGCCGCGTCGCGCGTCGCCTGCCTGTTGCGCGTGCGCAGAGCGAGGCGGCGCCGAGCGGCCTCCCGTCCCGCCTCCGCCGCCTGAGGAGAAGCAGCAGCAGCAGCAGCAGCAGCAGGAGAGCCGAGGGGAGCGCGGCGGCAGCGGCAGCCGCAGCAGCGAGGCCACGGGCGGGCGAGCGAGTGGTCGGGCGGGGAGCCCCTGCCCCCCTCCCGGCGCCATGGAGGCCAAGTCCTCGTCCAGCAGCGGCCGCCCCCCCGTGAAGGGCATCCTCAAGAACCCCTCCGGGGGCAGCGGCAGCGGCGGCGGCGGCGCAGGCCTGGTGGCGGCGGCCCTGGCGGAGGCGTCCACCGCCAAGGCCAAGCGGGCCGCCGCCAAGCCCGCCGCCGCCGCCGCGGAGGCCCCGCTGGGAGGCGCCTACGACGACGACGCCCAAGGGTGCGAGGCCGGGCCGGGGGGGGGACTCGGGCGCGGGAGGCGGGGCGCAGCAGAGGGAAGGGCGCCCCGGATCCCGCCCCGGGTCAGCCTCCCTTCGGGGCCCCCCAGGCCCACTCCCCGGGGGCGGGACGGGGAGCCTTCTGGTCAGATCTCCTTGGTTGCTGCCTGGGGGGGGGGTCCTGGTTTGGGGGCTGCCCTTCAGGTAGAGGGGGGGGCGTGTGCGACCTCGTTTCATGATTGGAACAGGCGGATCAGAGCGATCATCTGTTCTTATGCCAGATGGGCGGGGTATAAATAATTTACTAGTATTATTATCACGCGGGTGGCGCTGTGGGTAAAACCTCAGTGCCTAGGACTTGCCGATCGAAAGGTCGGCGGTTCGAATCCCCGTGACGGGGTGCGCTCCCATCGCTCGGTCCCAGCGCCTGCCAACCTAGCAGTTTGAAAGCACATCAAAGTGCAAGTAGATAAATAGGGACCGCTTACTAGCGGGAAGGCTCACCAGATGCAGCTTGTCACTCTGGCCACGTGACCTGGAAGTGTCTGCGGACAGCGCTGGCTCCTGGCCTCTAGAGTGAGATGAGGGCACAACCCTAGAGTCTGGCAAGACTGGCCCATATGTGCAGGGGTACCTTTACCTTTACCTTTATTATTATCATCCACCTTTTCTCCAAAGACCTCAAGGTGGTCTTTGCCCTTTCTCCCTCTTCATCTTGTCCTTACAACAGCCCTGTCGGGTTGGGGGGTTATAGAGCCCAAGACCCACCCAGTGAGCTTTGTACCTGAGCAGGGGCTTTAAGGTGGGGTTGGATAGATCCAAAGGGTGAGTTGCCCTGCTCTCTAGGGAGAGGGAATAGGGTTTCTGAAAGAGAGAAGTGCTAATGTTTCTCTCCGTTCTAATTCCATTTCTTTCCTTTCTCATGTTCTTTTAGTAAGAAGTCCCAGAAGTGGGATGAAATGAACATCCTAGCTACCTACCATCCAGCAGGCAAAGACTACGGCTTAATGAAGATAGATGAGCCAAGCACGCCCTACCATAGGTAAGCCAGTCATGATGATTAAAAGATAGGTTGCCCTTGTGCGCTTCGCCAGATAAAGGCACTTTTGATAGGCTAAACAGCAGCCTGGAGTGAAAAGATTTCATGGTGTGGCAGGCTTTATGTGTTGCAGGGGTTGCTTTTGATTAATTAGTGCACATTTGTGTGCATGATAGGCTTTGGGGAAGTGCAAGCTCCAGTTATAAATTATTTGGAACTATATCTTTCAAAAAAATTATATATCAAGGGAAAAGCCCTTCTACTCTGTTTAAAGAGACCAATTACAGCATTTAATAGGTCTCTGAATATGACATAGTTGGATATCACCTTGATTTTTGTAGATACCTTTGGTATCTTCAGCACAGGAGTTGATTTACGCAAAAATACTTGAAATAAGGAGAGCTGGCATTAAAAGGAATCTCTTCTGGCACGCAAGTAGCTTAGTGCTGCTTCTTCAAGTGAGGCTGTAGCAGCAAGTTCTCTTGATGTCCTCTCTGTGTCTTACCTTTGCAGCATGACAGGAGATGACGAAGATGCAGGCAGCGATACAGAATGCAACGAAGCCGTCACTGCAGATGTGCTGGCAAAGAAGTAAGTGCTCCTGGGTGCAGGGAGGATTGTTAGGTTTTATGCTACATTTAAAAATTATATTTTTACTTGAACTTGCTTCTTTCTTTGGGTGTGTTATGTTACTACTGTAACCTGTCCTGTGATCTTGGGAAATAGAGTGGGCTAAAAGTATTATGAAATAAAACAAATAACCCAATAAATCTGTGTAGGTTAGCAGCTGCAGCACATGGCAAGGGGCCGAAGATCCTCGCTCAGCAGGAAGAGAGCAGCGACGAAGAGGAGGAGTTGGAGTTATCTCCTGAAGAACGTGGTAGGTCTTGCTTTGCCAGTTAGAGCCAAATGGTGCCTGTGGAATAGCTGACATGTGTGAAGGGCTAGATAGTTTTTATTTTTCATATTTGCACAGATGTTGTGGTTTGGTTCTTATCCCTATCTATAGATGGAAAGCTGAGGCAGAGGATGGTAATTTGATGGCCTGTGACCATCAAGTGGGGCTGGGAGGTGGGATTGAAGCCCAAGGAACAGACTCTTGACTTTGGACCCCATTAACATAATAGTTATAACCTGTGAAAGAAAGATGCTTGGATTTGAAGGCACTCCTGGGGGTTGGATTCCACTGCCAACACTTGGAGGAGACCCGCTGAAACCAGTGTTGTTAATTGACTTCAGCCCTTTGCAATGAGGGGCTCCTCTTTGAGTATGACTTAGCCCTTAAGTGTCAGGTAATGGCTGGGACCTTCTAACAAGTGGAGTTGGGTTAACAGGTAAAAGTTCGTCCTCCTTAGATCTCTACCTCCCCATGGCATGATAACGATGCTTGGTGACAGTTATGATTTTGGATATTTTCCTTCCCCCTGAACTTTCCAACTGAATTTCTAAATTTCAGGCTCTTGGTGAGACACGGAGCTTTTTCCAAGTCAGCAGTTCTTTTGACTGCATAACATCACAGGGGAGGGAAAGAGCTGTGGTGGTGAATGAGCTGCCTGCAGGGGCCAGGGAACAAGTTGGAAAGAATGGTTGCTCTTTGACGGATCAGTTTGGGGATCATGTTCTTGCCTCTTTCTGCAATTACACACTGCAGTTCTCTGTGTTCATACCACGGCTTTCTGAAAACTGCTCTTGAGAATAGCTGGCATTTGTGCTGGGTATCTCTTTTTTTGTACCCTTAAGCCTTCCCAGTTACCTGCCCTTATGCCTGACTCCAGAGTAAAATGGCTGAGATTGGGAGCTGCTTAGGCTGGTCTGTTTGCTTCTTCCTTCGACTTTACTAACCAGAAAAATAAGCCACTGATTTCTCAGTGCGAAGGCCCAACAAAACAGACATTGGTGTGGTTCTTGCACAGACTGTGCATACACACTTGTGCAGGTGGATTTTGGCTGCTTAGGTGGAAATTCTGCTCCATTGCGGACCTGGAAAAAATCTAGTTGAGCACCCTGCAGAAGCTGGGAGGGGAAAATGTTTTGGAAGTTCTAGACTGACCAAAAACAAGTTCTGTTTGTGCTGCCTCCCTACCCACCCATAGCCTTTGGGATGAGGTCGGCTGTAACTCCCCTTAGCAAATGCACCCTAGGCAATGTGGTAAGTAATTCCAGTTGAACACATTTATGTACATTGTTTCCTGGCCAAATGCAAAGTCTCTGCAGGATTTTTTAAAAACCTTCCTGTTGAAATTTTGATTTATTTTTTTTGATGGACCCCAGTTCTTGTCGTTCAGGGTCTTCATGGCAGCAGGCAGTGGCGTCAAGGTCTGCTGCAGCTTTAGCAGAGTGTGTAAAATGTGAAGTTGCAGGAGGTATCGCAATCGAAAAACAATGGCTGATGAGTAGGTCTACTGAATCTGTTTGTTCTCCGTGCAGAGAAGAAGAGGCAGTTTGAGATGAAAAGGAAGACCCACTACAATGAAGGCAAGAACATCAAGCTGGCCAGGCAGCTGATTGCGAAGGAGCTGCATGGTGACGCAGCCAATGAAGAAGATGACGACGATGAATGTGATGATGAGGATGAAGACGATGAATGTGATGAAGAGATGCGGGACACAGTAGACCTTGGTGAGCCAGTTACTCCCAAAGTGCCTACAGTTGGTGCCGGTCAGAGAGCACTTCCCCACTAGCGTCGGCTCTGTGAGCCACAGAGTGGAGGGCGTTTTGCAGGGCTGAGAATAGGTTTCAGATTCTTAGGTGCCAGGATGAAATCCCCAGGCAGGCTCCTAGGCAGCTGCTCTAGGGGTTTGGCAGCCTTGGCCATCTCCAGCCAAGTGTTTGCATTGCCTGACAACTCTGGTATTGTCTTCAAAATGATATACAGTATCAGCTTGAAGTCTATATTGTGCTGTCGGTTTCATGATTTTTGACCTGGCAATATGTGTTTGGTGAGACGTTCATCAGGTAAACATCCTGATATACCAACACATCATGATGTCTGAAATAAGGATGTAATTATGTAGAGGTGAACAGGGTAACGTCCTGGAAAGTGCTGCTTCTTAGGGGTCTAAAACTGACACAACTGATAGAACAGAAGAAATCGTGAGAGAAGGGATGACTGGCTTCACATTTTTTACATGTTGCAATTTTTTTCATAGTGCGTGCGCACGCACGCACGCGCGCGCACACACACACATTGTGATTCGCTATATATTGCCATGCTGAATATTATGAAACTGTTGACATAATGTGGACTTCAAACTGATTTTTGATGATGTTTCAATACATTGCCTATCCCTAGTCTGTGTGAGCGAGTACGTTTGGCGCACTATACAAAAATCACAATGTTGGAAAAACCATGAAGCCAGCTCACACTTCCTTGGAAGTTTTCAAGCAGAAGTTGGATAGCCGTCTGTCATAGATGCCTTATCCAAGATTCCTGCATTGCAGGGTGTTGAAGTAAATGACCCTTGCGGTTTCTCCCGATTCTGTGATTCTCTCGATTCCTGCAGCCCCTGTTACACTCTGCCAGCTCAGCTCTCCTCTGCCAGGGGGCAGCAGATCACAAGAGCAGGTGCTAGCAAAAATCACAATATGGGAAAATCCATGAAGCCAGCCAATGGCTCTACATAGCTCCATCCTTATTTCAGACATTAGTATATTGCAATGTTTAACTGGTATTATATCACGATTTTGAAAACCAGATATTGCCCAGCCTTAACAGCCAGCTCTGTTTCCATTGGAGGGACTTGTTCCTATTTGCCTGCAGGGGCCGTTCTTCTTGAGGTAGAAATAGGAACTGTGGAGAGACAAAAATGGGCAGTGTGTTGCCATTCTTGTTTTTCCACTCCTTTTCCAGGTGACTGGAAGGCAAGCCCTTCTAGGATTTGTGCAGCTGGGTGGAGCCCAAGCAGCCAGCACTGCCATGTCAGCAGACAGACTCAGTGTGTGTCTGCGTGTGTGAGAGAGAGAGAATTGGGCCGCAGCTGAGCTGGCCTGGAGGTTTGCGTTTGCACTCCTCACACAGCGTTCTGCATGCAGAATGGCTTATTCAGCTGCTGCTGAGCTGGTTTGGCCTTCCCTCTGCATGCCTCATTTACCCATCCTCCTTTATCCTCACATGAATAAATTGAATGCTTCTCTTGGAGATTTCAGAGGCTGCTTAGTGGCACTGATTTATTTATTTTTAGTTGGCTTCTGCTGTTGCTGGCCAAGTGGCTTCATTCACAAAGACACTTTGGAAGTAGCAGTGTTAGTGATGCCTGAACAGTTGGGTTTTGAGATTCTCCTCCCAGATGCAACCCAGATATTCTTGTATCCCATGATACACATATGAACTTCAGTTTCCAAGTTCTTTAGTTCTAAGTATCTCCTTTAGCAGAAACACACCTTTGACATCTGGGCTGGAAAAGGCATTGATAGCAAAGGGAGATTTGAAAGGAATAAGCCAGGCATAGGCAAACTCGGCCCTCTAGATGTTTTGGGACTACTGTTCCCATCATCCCTGACCACTGGTCCTGTTAGCTAGGGATCATGGGAGTTGTAGTCTCAAAACATCTGGAGGGCTGAGTTTGCCTATGCCTGGAATAAGCACATGCAGAACAGCACTGTGGCAGAGACAGGCGATAGAGGAGGATCTGTGAGTTCTAGGAGAGAGTAGGGAGCCCAGGTGTGCTGTGGAATGGTTGAGGGGAGCCCAGGGAAGAGAAGACACAGGTGATATGATAGCTGCTTTCTACTGTGAGACATCTGAAAGGACCTCTCCAAACAGGCAAAATGGCAAATGCTGTTTGATATGAGGTTCATTCCACGCCAAATCACCTGGTGCCATGTGCTCTCACGGCTTAGATTTTCTTCATTTTTTTAATGTGTAGATACCTATGAGATAATCTCAAATAATTTTTAAAGATTTTTTGGTCCAAAATTGGGCGCAGACGATTTTTTTTTTGAAAATTTCAATTTTTGTGCGATTTAGACTAATGCAGTTTCTGCGTCAGTTTAGGAAAAACCTCCTGTTTCGCTCGTTTTTCAACCGATTGGGCTTATTTTGGTATCAAAATAAAGGTACTTGTGGTCTCTTTCAAAATAAGGTATTAAAATGGTATTAAGTGCCACAGAAAAGGGTCACCAACCATTCAAAGTGAATTTTTGTCAGTTTATTTCTGGTGGGTTTGATAAGCCATAGCATGCAAACCACAACCAACATGTGTTTCATACTTTTGTTGTAGAATGGGCTAAGCATGTACTTTTTATGTTTTGAAAATGAGGGTGTTTTGTGGTTATAAAATAAATTGATTTTGAAGTAAATTTTTTACACTTTTTTGTACAGGTTTAAGGTCTCTTTGAGCCTGAAATAACTCACACATTCGTGAGAATAGTTAAAATTGTACCCTCTTATGTTACAATGTCATCTGATATATTTTAAAAATTAAGCTTTATTGATTACTTAATAAAAACAAAATACGTCTCAGAGTCTTTGTTCATTTTATTGTGTAAAACACTTCTGCAGTGATATGGTCAAATCTGTTTTGTTTCTCATACATGTAATATGGTAATGAGGCTGTATGTGTGTGCATGTATATGTATATGTGACGATAGATAGATTGGATTTTACAATTTAATATTCAACCAAATAACACAATACAACATTTGTCATATAAACAAAAAAGAAAAAAAACCCACCCCATGACTTCCCTGGTTCTTTAAATATTTATTACTTCTGCTTAATTGTTGTCTTATTTTTATGATCTTATACCTCAATGTACTTAACATTTTTATACTAAATTTTATTTCGTAATTACAATTGCACTACATTTGAAAAAACGTAGTTTCTTTCTCTTTACACTTCCAGCTTTTATTAGAACTAGTTTTATACATTTTTGCAAGCTTAACTGGAGTTAAATACCATCGGTACATAATTTTCATATAATTCTCTTTCAGAGTTGTACAAGCAATAAATTTTAAATCAACTTTACATAATTTTTCCTAATCTTTCATTTGCATATTGTGTCCTAAATCTTGTGCCCATTTAATCATTACACATTTAACTTCATCTTTGGTTTCCCATTCTAACAATAAATTGTACATTTTCTTCAGTATTTCAGTGTTATCCTCTATAATTTCTCTTTAAAATCTAGACATAGCTAAATCATTTCTTTTTATCTTATTTAAAAACCTCATTTACTTGAAAATATTGCAACCAATCATTAACATGATCTCAAATTTCTTCAAAATCTTTCAATTTTAATTTCTCTTCTATTTTTATTAAAAGAGCTCTATACGTAAGCCATTTTTCTCTGCTTTTTTAAAAAATTGATGTTGCTTCCGTTGGTGACAACCACCACAGAGTCTTTTGTTCTAATAAATCTTTATATCTTTCCCATACTTTTAAAAGTGATCTCCTGATTATGTGATTACAGAATATGCACTTTCCCTTTATAATTCCACAGGTACGCATGGCATCCAAATCTGTTGTCATGTCCTTCAAGATCTAACAAATCTGTATTTTCCAATTTAAAACCTACTGGCTGTTGCTGGGGAAGGAGGGGGAGAGGCTCAGAGTGAGCATTGTCACAATGGTGTTTAGGTGGAGCTGTTTGCCGGGCTCCGTATTTGCTGAATTAAAACCACAAAATAAGAATTTCTTGCTTTTTCTTTGATCCTTGAAACTGCCGGGGGAGAAGAGAACCCCTCAAGTCTGATACTTATTGCCTAAATCCTTTAGTTTCATTCACAAGAAACTTGTTGGATGTTTTTAAAGTACAAAAATAAATACATTTCTTCTTGCTGATTCAGAAAGGTTATATTGCATACAGTGGTTAAAACAGCATCAGTGACCATACTACATTTATGGGAAACAAAATAGCTTTGACCATATCATTTCAGAAGTGCTTTACACAATAAAATGAACAAGGGCTCTGAGACGTAGTTTGTTTTTATTAGATCCTGCAGGAAAAGCAAAATCAATTGAACTCACTAATAACAACTACGGAAGTTCAAACAGCAATTAAAGAGGGAAAGATTGGGAAGGCACCTGGACCAGACGGATATAATACAGTAAAGTATTATAAAATATTAGGTGAACAACTGATAGCCCCGTTAAGAGAAGTTATGAACAATATATTGACAAAAGGACTGATCCCAAAGACATGGAAAGAAGCCTATATTACTTTGATTCCAAAACAAGGCACAGATTTATTGAGTGTGAAGAATTATAGACCAATTTTGTTATTAAATAATGATTCACTTTGAATGGTCTCCTGCGCCCAATTTTGGACCAAAAAATCTTTAAAAAATAATTTGAGGTTATCTCATAGGTATCTACACATAAAACTTTTTTTTGAAGAAAATCTGAGTCATGAGAGCATGGTCGAGTATTAAAAGCAGGTGATTTGGCGTGGAATGAATCATGAGTAAGTGTAAAATGATGTACACAGGGGCGAGAAATCTAAAGTGCTCCTGGGACCAGTGCTCCTGGGATCGGCAGCAGATGACCAAGAAGGAGACCTTGGATTCCAGTGGAGACCTTGATGAAGATGTTGAGAAAGGCTAGGGCAGGAATAAGCAAATTCCAGCCCTTCAGATGTTTGGGGCTACAATTCCCATCATCCCTGACCGCTGGTTCTGTTAGCTAGGGATGATGGGAATTGTGGTCCCAAACATCTAGAGGGCCGGAGTTTGCTTATGCCTGGGCTAGGGATTGTTAGGAAAGGGATTAAGAATAAAACTGCCAAAATTGTTAGGTCATTGCACAAATCTGTGGTGCAGTTTGGAATGTCGCCTCAAAAAGAATATTGTAGAGCTGGAAGAAGTTGAGAAAAGGACAAGGGGGTGAAACAACGAGCCAGTGAGGAAAGGTGACAATATTTTTAGTTCAGAGGAAAGACAAGCGACAGGAAACAGGATGGAGGTATAAAATTGGGACTAAAGAACGTCTTCCACACAGCGCAGAGTCAAGTTATGGCATTCCCTCCCACAGGAGTCAGAGATGGGCGCCAACTTGGGTGCCATTAAGAGAGGATTAGAGAAAAGCTTGGCAGATCAGGCTCCCGCAGTGACCAACCACTGTGGCTGCCGGAGGCAGCAGGCCTCTCCAAACCAGCGGCTGGTGTTCCCTGCTGCGTTGCACTCATGTCCTGCTAGCAGGCATCCCTTAGGTTGGCCCCTTTGAGAAGAGAGTTCTGCCCTAGACAGGACTGGATCCTGCAGGGGGTTCTGCCATCACTTCAACCTCTGGAACCAAATTGCATAGCTCCCCCCCCCCCATAATTTTATCTTTTTGCAAGTGCACTGAAGCAGTGCCTGTCCATCTGAAACACGTTATGTGCCTATTTCTTGACTGAGGTGAGTTTTTTTTACTGTTATCTTCTTTCTGACAGATTGGGACACTTGAATAATACGTTAGCCATGACATTCAGAGTAGTAGGAATAAAGCAGATGAGAATCAAATCAAGGCCTAATGAATCTTCCCACCAGAACCCCGAGGACGACGTGCTGGTTAGCTGCTGGCCGTAATTCTGCGGATGATCTTTCTTGTGAAGCTGTGCAGTTCACAGAGCAAAGGAAGCTGAAACATGCGCATTTCTGAACTTCCTGTGAGCCTGAGTCACTTAGAAATCATCTCTCTTTTCAGCACAGTATTTGGACAAGAGCAGGCCTTGAATCTTGATTCAGTTGAGGAGGGGTTGCAGTCCTTTCAGCTGGGTCTTGGGGGGGGGGTCCTTCTGTGTTTGTCTCCTTCACGCTGGCATGCCGGAATGGGTGGCTAAGTGCAGGAGGTTCTGGCTGCCCAGGCTCCTGATCTTCTTCCCCAACAAGGCCCTGGGGTGCTTGTGAGTTGGGCTCCTTCCGCTAAGCTCCCTGTGGCTTCTGCTTGGTCTCCTATGGCCTCCACTTGCATGGCCAGGGCTCCCTCTTTGCCCTTCCCACCACTGCAGAGCCCAATGAAGGGCTTCCCTCTAACATGCAGCCCTGTAGACTCTTTGGCAGCTGTTCATCTTTTCTCCAAGCAGAGGGGCAAGTCTGGGTTGAGTTGCCTGCTCTCAGTTGCTCACTAGCTGCCTCTGAATGGAGGGCTGGGTGTGGGGCTGAAGCCACTAACTTTCCTTGGAACGGGGTCTGAGTTGGAGGCCTGCAGGTTTTTATTACAGTGGTGCCTCGCAAGACGAAATTAATTCGTTCCGCGAGTTTTGTCGTCTTGCAATTTTTTTCGTCTTGCGAAGCACGGTGTTGGGAAAGTTTTGGAAAAGCTTCAAAAATCACCAAAGTCTTCAAAAACCTCAAAAAAGGCTACCACACCGCGTTCTATGAGTTGCTCCACAAAGTCAAGTCGCAACTGTATTAACGGTGTTAAGAAAAAGGAAACAAACTTGCAAGACGTTTCCGTCTTGCGAAGCAAGCCCATAGGGAAAATCGTCTTGCGAAGCAGCTCAAAAAACAAAAAACCCTTTCGTCTAGCGAGTTTTTTGTCTTGTGAGGCATTCGTCTTGCGAGGTACCACTGTATTAAGAATGGGATTTCCTACCTCTCTATGAGGCCCCAGTGATAGGAAAAAGGTGCATTTTCTCCCCTAGTCCCTCTCTTTCCCCCAAGTCCTGTAGGAATGGTGTGGGGAGTGTTTGGGGAGTATCAGGCTATGCTGGTAAGTGTAGTGTGGAGGTCCCTGTTCAGTTGTCTAAAGAGCTGTATGCGTCCCTCAACTTAAAGTCACCTGCTGTGTGACTAAGATGTTGGGAAGGAGGCCAGGAGAGACACTTGGGGTAGCAAATCCTCATCAGTCGGCTACTAAAACATTGGGACTGGGCAGGGAGGAGAAGGCACACATGATGTCCCAGATCCCAGTGTCTTTCTCTTCATCTTCAGAGATCTTTGCTGAGGTTATTTTAGCCTCGAGAACCAAGTTAAACAAAAATGGCATTGCTTTGGCACAACTGGTTGATCTGTGAGTGGCTGATCTCTCCCCTGCCAGGTCACCTGGTGCACTGCTGTTAGTCAAATATGTTGCTCCCTTCCCTTTTTGTCTCTTCAGCCACCTGCTTGACAGTTGTGGGTAGTGTGTGTGTGTGTGTGTGTGTGTGTGTGTGTGTGTGTAGTTCTGCCTCTCCCTGTTCCTTCCTACTTAGTCTTCTCTAGGGTAGATGTACCTCCTTGGCCAGCCTGTTCAAAAATGGTGCTAGATTTGGGGCTGGTCCAGTTCTTGCTGGAATTCTGTGTGGCAGATACAGAATCCTGACCATGAGGTGTGGATGCCTCAGTCTCTTGTGCTTGGTTGCTCACGTTGGATTTATATGTGACCTGGAAGGTGGTTGAAGCATGTGGGTGGTATAAAAGGCCCGCGTGATGGACATTGTGGGTGGGACCCTTGCAGAGCTGCCCACAAAGCTAGTTGAGGGGTGTTTATGCAGGTCAAGCAATTGCTGTGCCTCATTTCAGAAACAATCACTGGTGGCCAAGAGGACTCTTGGCTTCTGCAGCTAGTGGAGATGATCCATGTGTTTGGGTGTTGTGCACGTGCTTTGATGGACTCAGGTTAACCATTTGGAGGTTCACCCTGTTCAGATGAAAAAGAAAGATGCTGCATGCAGGAATCTGACCGTCTGGGCTCTGCTCCTGTGAGGATGAACGCTTGCCCCATAGACGCACAATCTTCTGTCATGTAAACTGCAGCTGGTGAGAAATGCCCTGTTTCTTTTTTTCTCTTTCCTACAGCACCTGATCCTAGCGAGCCACTTGAGAAAATTGCACACAGCCTAGAAGAAGTCTGCTCAGGACTGTAGCTGATCCTGAAGCCACGCCTTTGTATTCACTGCATTGCACACCTGCAGTTGTGACTCAAGTAACTGAGGAGCAGGTCGGCTCCCACTTAGTGTTGCCAAGTGTGGTGGGAGCCGGCGAGACTTTTCTCTTAGGCAGACGGAAAACTCGGCTGAGCTGGCTTATTCTTGTGCCTGGCAGCCACAGAGAAGACGGCTTCATGCATAAACAGCAGGATCACATGACGTACAATGCAGGTGACTTTGGCACATCCGTGTTGCTCCTCTTTATGGTTTTGAAACAACCAGTCACTTTGCTTTGTCCTATTCTATTTGGCAGGACCTTCTAGGACTTAAAGTGGCCACATGCCTGGTAGAAGGGCTTTGGCATTGATGTGCCAAACTTTACGACTAGAATAGATGAACCCTTACACTGAACCGCTTGACAATTGACAAGGTATTTTGAAGGGGAAAAAGGGATTGATTGATTGATTCATAGGCTTCTTTTTGTAGAATATTTCTTCTTGGTTGTTAATCTTGCTAGTCTATATCTTGTTGCTGGAGGGGGAGAAACAGGCAGAGAGGGAGGTGGCATTAATGCAGCAAGGAGGCTCTGCATTCCCTCCATGCTTCCCAGAGCTTCCCTGCTGTTCCGTGGGGGCTGTTCTGAGCCTGGAAATGGGGCTCCTGCCCTGCCGGGCCGTGCAACGTTCTCTGCTTCTGCTTGTGGGCTTGGCTGTGGAGTGTTGTCTTGTGGGCTCTTTCACCCTGAATCTCCATTGAGCTGCGTGCCACCTTGTCAGCTGAGGCAGCCCAGGGGCTTGCCACACTTTCCCAAAGTTGGAGGGAAGTCAGCTTTGCAAATCTGCGCTGGAAGCATCACTCCCTCTTCCTGTCCAGAGCGATAGGGTGGCCTGGTGAACTGTGCTGCCACACAGCCCTAGTGAGGAGCCAGAGCAGCCGCCTGTACGTGGTTGTGGATGGAAGACCAGCCTTCGTCCTGGAGGCCCCTAGCGGTGGGGTCCTGGCTGATGGATGAAGGCAGGGGAGAAAGAGTCGGGGGTCTGGCTTGTTCCCTCTCTCCAGACTTGAGTAGAGAGAAAATCCTGCCTTGGCTTTTCAGTTCCTAATTTTGATCTAAATTTGATGTGTTGACCCAACTCCATATGACTCTATGGATCTGTTTTAAGGTGGCTTGTTTACTGTGTGACATCTGAACAACACATTGAAAGTTATAGTATTGCATTCCAGGGCTGTCTTAAAACGTTAGGCTCTTTGTACCCTTACAAGAAAGACGTGTGTGTAGTCACTTAACATAGATAAAATGGGGAGGTGGGTTGTTGAAACAAGCTTCACCTTTCCACAAAAGTCCAGGCTGTGTGGAATTGCATGTCAGCGTTGCCACATCAGAGTCACTGCCTGGCTTCCCGTTTGCAGTTTAATTTTGATGTTTTAAGTAAAAGTGTCGTTTCCTTTGACTGCATTTTCCCATGAGAAGAACTTGTAGTGAATGTTCTGTTCTTTAAAGCAGCTCTCCAGCTGCTGGTTGCACTCCATCTCCCAGCCCCACCCCTGCCGGCCCTATTCTGACAACATCATGGTGAAGTGACATTGACCTGTATCCCACTTGGTCCCAGTGAGCTGCATCTCCAGGGCACCCACCCCCAGGCCCCTAGTTGGCTGGCTGAGGTTGTGAGCCCTCTGGGCAGGGATGTTGTCTGTTCTGTACGGCACTGACCCTAAATAAACAAGTCTAATACCACTGGCTTGCTTCCTCAAGCCATCCTGATTGTTTGCGAAGCTCCCCCTTGGCCCTGGGGGAGTTTAGCCTGTTCTGCTGGCCCACCATCTGTGGAAACCTCCTTTGGACTTCAGGCTCCTCTGCAAAGAGGGTGGGGAGAAATGCCTGCATTTGGGATCAGCACCTGCCCTGATCCCAAGTGGCCTGCCCTGCACAGCCTCTCTGAGCCTTTGGGGCCCTTCGTCTGGCATGTATTGATGGCCCTTTTCCTGCCAAGCGGCAGCATTTTAAAATACCAAATCAAGGCCTATAAGCGCCATGAAGAGCAGAGGGGTCTCTGGGAGCTGGTGGCCTCTGACTTCCCCTGGGAATGTGCCAGAGGGATCCTTCCAAGTGAGCTCTGCATGAGTGCCGGTTCTTCACCAGGACATGGCAAGTGGAGGTGTCTGGTGAAGACCCTCCTCTACTCGGGTGGGGGAGGGAGAGAAGCTGCTTTTCAGGCCCCACCCCCAGTCTCCTTTCTTTCCTTAGCATGCAGTCTTATAATCTGCCCAGACTATGATCCAAGTATAATTGATTAAGGTTAAGGCATTGATTCTACAGTGGTGCCTCGCAAGACGAAATTAATCCGTTCCGCGAGTCTCTTCGTCTTGCGGTTTTTTCGTCTTGCGAAGCACGGCTATTAGCGGCTATTAACGGCTTAGCGGCTATTAACGGCTTAGCGGCTTTAAGAAAAAGGAAACAAACTCGCAAGACGTTTCGTCTTGCGAAGCAAGCCCATAGGGAAATTCGTCTTGCAGAACGACTCAAAAAACGGAAAACCCTGTCGTCTAGCGAGTTTTTCATCTTGCAAGGCATTCGTCTTGCGGGGCACCACTGTATATGAATTTCTGAAGATTTTGTATCTTTCCCCCCCTTCAGCCAAGTTCAAAACATACAGTGTAACACTTCTAGGCAATTGAAACCAGAATGATTACATTTTATGAACCTCCGTCCGTTGTCTGCCCAGCGGGAGGGTGCTCAGTCTACCATGCAAAAGGCTGAGCTGCCTTCCCTGCCTAAGCATTGCAGTGATTCCCTGCCGATTGCACACTCCACTGTTTTGCAAACAATTTTGATTGGTCAGTCGTTACCCATTCTTTGAAAATGCAGAGTTCATTCATCAAAGAATGGTATTTCATTGAAGCATGCATTTAATACAGTCGTACCTTGGATCCTGAACACCGCAAACCTGGAAGTGAGTGTTCTAGTTTGCAAACGTTCTTTGGAACCTGAACGGGGCTTCCATGGCTTCTGATTGGCTGCAGGAACTTCCTGCAGCCAATCAGAAGCCGTGCTTTGGTTTCCAAACGGACTTCCAGAACGGATTCCATTTGACTTCCAAGGTACAACCATAGTTGATTTCTCCAAAGAGGGAGGATTGGGGTTTTGGGGCTAGGTCGCGTTTGTGCTTACGGTGTGGGGGAACGGTCAGGCTCATCCTCCTGACTTTAGCTCAAGGCCGTGGTGGGGACTTGGTACTACTTCTGGGGTGTCACAATCCCCCCTCCAGCTTTAACAATAGGTATTGGAAAAGACCTGATGGGTGCTCTGATCTACCCCGCTCAGCACCTCTGCAGCTAGCTGGCTTTTCTTTTTGGCTAGTTGTGTGGCATAGCAAAAGCAAGCTCCAACGACAAGCCTGCTTCTCCCTCCCCGGGCCTTGCAGGCTTTTCTTGGGGAGGGGTGTGCTCACCCCGAGGGGAAAAGCAAGCTGACAAGCACCAGGAGAGCAGCCACACACCTCCCAACTTCCTCAGCCGAGCCAGGTACACATCAATTGTTGACGGCCCTTCCTGTGTTGAACCCACAAAGTCGAAAAGAGAACTCTCAGGGCAGCCTCCGGAGGGGCTGCTTCCTCCTTCCTTTTCTCTGCTGGAGGGACACCACAAATGAAGGCACAAAGAGTTGCCAGCAGTATGTTCAGCTGTGGGGCATCTTCACCAGGCTCTTCCTGCTTCATTTGCTCACTGTCACTGCCATCACCAGGATGCAACCGCAGGAGCTCTATGCAATGTCAGAGTGTGTTTTGGGTTGTTTGGTATTTAGAATAAAGTTCTTAATTTAACTGTATGCGTTTTTGCATTTGTTCAGCTGCTGAGGCTGCAGCCAAAGGGGATGTTTCCTGTTATTCTCCTTTGTGGGGCGGGGGGAGAAGTTGGATCCTGGTGGACTTTGAACCAAACTCTCCAAAAAGGTGGAAAGAGGTTTCCCAACAGAGTGCCTAGAGCATGGTTAAAAAACCATGTTTTATTTTTTAAGATGAGAGGTCATAATATTGCAAGGTAAATAATGGAGGAGCTAACTGTCTTTTCTGAAGTAGAATCATGTATGGTAAGCTCTCAACCTACATGGGGGTTACTTTCCAGGGATCATGCCTGAAGCCAGAATTGTATATAGTCAAAACACATTGTCTTTTTTTTTCTGGACTCCTGCCCCTTTTCTTTCTTTCTTTCTAATTGCCAAGTGCGTAAAGCTGAATGTGCAGAAATAAAATGTGTGTAAGTTGCAGTTTAACTATACAGTGGTACCTTTGTTTAAGAACAGTTTAGTTTATGAACAACTTGGCTGCAAACCCGGAAGTATGTGTTTTGGTTTGTGAACTTTGCCTTGGAAGCAGAACATGTTCCGCTTCCTATTGAGTGTCTTCCTTTTGTAAATTTCCCCGCTGCTATGGGAAAGCACGCTTTGGTTTAAGAATGCTTTGGTTTAAGAACTGACTTCTGGAACGGGTTACGTTCGTAAACCAAGGTACCACTGTATATAAATCCTGGTCTGAAACAAACAAAATGCTTTCCCCAAAGCTTACTGAGTCCACTGGTGGTGAATATTTGGGTCTTTGATGGCAAGGAGGGTTGGGGGGGCTTGCTATATAACGTTGCACTACAGCTCCCCAAATCCCTGACCATTAGTCCTGCTGTCGGGGGCAGTTGGGAGTTCAACCATGGCTGGTGATTCGGGGTTGGAAAGGCAGGGGAGGGATACATGAGAGCATGAGACTGCTGGCCAGTGGCCCATCAAGTCCAGCATCCTGTTCTCACAGCAGCCCTTCATAGGAAACCAGCCAGCAGGATCTGAGCGCAAGAGGCGCTCCCCCTTGCTGTGCGCACAATTTGTCTAAGGCTGGCGAGGTGTTGTAATCTGGATTAATGGGTGCAAGGAGGGGGGCTTGTCTTTAGACCTGATGGGTTTGGTGGTTTCATTTTGCATTTCTTGTGTTGCTCAGCCGCCCAGCAGAAGGGCAGCAGGATGAATTTAATGATGCTGAGTCCCAGTGCTGGATTTATGTATAAGCTAAACAAACTATAGTTTAGGGCCCCACTCTCTTGCCCCCCCCCAATATAAGATAAAAAACAAATAAAATAAAACCTACATCCAGCAACAGTGTTTTGTGTTGTGTCGGCTCCTAGGATGTAAGTCATGGGCCCCGCCTGCTAGCCTGCTCCCAAAAATATCACTGCTTTGCTCCTTTCTATATATAGGGTGCCTACATTCTGCATGGGCTGGTTGTCTGGCAACATGTGCAAATGGCTTTAGAGACCTATTACTGTAGGTCCATCAATTTGTTGTTTAGTCATTTAGTTGTGTCCGACTCTTCGTGACCCCCTGGACCAGAGCATGCCAGGCCCTTCTGTCTTCCACTGCCTCCCTCATGCTGGTAGCTTTGAGATCACTGTCCCACCATCTCGTCCTCTGTCGTCCCCTTCTCCTTGTGCCCTCCATCTTTCCCAACATCAGGGTCTTTTCCAGGGAGTCTTCTCTTCTCATGAGGTGGCCAAAGTGTTGGAGTCTCAGCTTCAGGATCTGTCCTTCCAGTGAGCACTCAGGGCTGATTTCCTTCAGAATGGGGAGGTTTGATCTTCTTGCCGTCCATGGGACTCTCAAGAGTCTCCTCCAGCACCAGAATTCAAAAGCATCCATTCTTCGGCGATCAGCCTTCTTTAGGGTCCAGCTCTCACTTCCATACATCACTACTGGGAAAACCATAGCTTTAACTATACGGACCTTTGTCGGCAAGGTGATGTCTCTACTTTTTAAGATGCTGTCTAGGTTTGTCATTGCTTTTCTCCCAAGAAAGGGACGCGGGTGGCGTTGTGGGTAAAACCTCAGTGCCTAGGACTTGCCGATCGTCAGGTCGGCGTTTCGAATCCCCGCGGCGGGGTGCGCTCCCGCTGCTCAGTCCCAGCGCCTGCCAACCTAGCAGTTCGAAAGCACCCCCGGGTGCAAGTAGATAAATAGGGACTGCTTACCAGCGGGAAGGTAAATGGCGTTTCCGTGTGCTGCGCTGGCTTGCCAGATGCAGCTTGTCATGCTGACCACGTGACCCGGAAGTGTCTGCGGACAGCGCTGGCTCCCGGCCTCTAGAGTGAGATGGGCGCACAACCCTAGAGTCTGGCAAGACTGGCCCGTACGGGCAGGGGTACCTTTACCTTTACCTTCTCCCAAGAAGCAGGAGTCTTTTAATTTCGTGGCTGCTGTCACCATCTGCAGTGATCATGGAGCCCAAGAAAGTGAAATCTCTCACTGCCTCCATTTCTTCCCCTTCTCTTTGCCAGGAGGTGATGGGACCCGTGGCCATGATTTTGGGTTTTTGGATGTTGAGCTTCAGACCATATTTTGCGCTCTCCTCTTTCACCCTCATTAAGAGGTTCTTTGATACCTATGAGGTCCATCAATGACCATCTAGCATATATTCCACACACAGAAACCGCGGCAATTTGTTGCGGACAAAGGACAGCTGGAGCTAGAAAGGGCCGCATCCGGCCTCCCTCCGGCTTCTCAGCAGCCCGTCCTGAAAGGGGGCGGGGCTCCTGCTTCTGCCTACGTCACTCCCGGAGAGGCGTTCCGCTCGGCTGCTAAGCAACGGGGCCCGCCCCCTCGACGCGGCTCTGCCTGCTCCCCATTGGCTACGCAGGACGCGACGGCGGCGCGCGTTATGGACGAGCGCTATTGGCTCTCCGGGCTGCCCCTTATCGAGAACGGGGCGGGTGAAGGAAGCCGAGGAAAGCGCTTTGGCAGGCGGGGATTGGCGCGAGCGGCCCGCACTCTCCCTCCCCATTGGCTCGGGGAGCTGCCCCTTCGGAGGCGGCCTGCGGAAGAGACGCCTGCCGCCGGCAGCCATTGGCTCGTGCGTAGCGCCGCCTGTGCCGATTGGTCGGCGGGTGGGGCGCTGGGCTGGGCTCCGCCCTCCCTCTCCGCCCGTCCTGCGCCCCCCCCCGGGCAGAGCCGAGTCTCTGAGGGAGAGAAGGAAGGAGCGGCGGCGGCGGCGGCCGAGGGGAGGCAGCCATGAGGGTCGCGGTGGACTTCGAGGAGTGCCTCAAGGACTCGCCCCGCTTCAGGTGCGGAGGGCGGCGGAGGGAGGGGAGGAGCTGCCGGGGCCAGCTAGCCCAGTCCCCCGCGGGCAAAGGAAGGCGAGGCCGCCGCCGGTCCAGGGGCGCCTCCCCGCGGAAGCGCCGGGCTCCCTCCGCCCGGGGACAGCCTCTCGCCGAGGGGAAGGCGCCTCTCCGGGCTCCTCTGATTCCGCCCTTCCTCTTCCGCAGGCGCCCCCAGACTCGGCCCGCCAGCTGTTTTGGGACTGCAACTCCCAGCATCCCTGACCACTGGTCCTGCTAGCTAGGGGAGATGGGAGTAGTAGTCCCAGAACAGCTGGAGGGCCGAGTTTGGGGGTGCCTGCTCTTCAGGCTCCTCCTCCAGCAGCGTGGTGGGGGGCAGAGGGGGCATCGTCCTCTGGCTTCCCCTCTGAGGCAGCCCCAGCCTGTGGCAGACCTTCAGGGAGTGGGGTGGGGATTGCCCCAGGCCAGGGGCTCCTTGGGGGGAGAAGAGGCCTTGAAACAAATGGGGGGTCCCCTTGTCACATTTGGCATAGCCAGCTGGGCTTTGGGGCTTAGGAGGACCTTGCTAGCCGACACCGGATCCTTGCGGGGCATCAGTGCTCACTTGGATCCAGGCATGGACAGGCTGAGTACCAAGAAAGGCCTGGGTGCTTTTTGTGCTCCTGTGTTAAGACTTTGTCTCCTGAGCCCTGGAGGGCGTTCAACATCAGGGTGCAAATGAGAAGCATCAAAATAAGTGGTGGATCCCTTGGTCAATATAAAACTGGCAGGAATCATTGACTTCTCCTAATGCTCAAATGTTCTGATGGACATGTGACTCTTTCATATGTGTTAGACTGTATTTGCTAAGTTACAGTGGGTGTTTCTGTGGATGGTTTGTTGGTTTGTTTGTGTGTTTTGACTTCCACAAGCAGCATTCATCTTGAGCTCAGCTGCTCTGGAATGCACGCAAGAAATAGACCGGAACAGACACAAATCTGTGTTACCCATCTCAACCAACCCACAGTAAGCGGTGTGGGGGTCTCGCACACCAACCAACTAACACTACCTGATTTTGGTTTCCTCTATTTTTGAGCATCTGGTAAAAGCACCCGGTGTGTCCTCAGTTTGTGGTTAGCCTCTTCAGAAGCTTTGAAATATAGGGGAAAGAACAACTGTTAGCCCTATATCCAAATGCTGGAAGGCAACAAGAATGTTGTCCCTTCAATCTCCTACTGCCTGCTTGGCTAGTGGCCTCAGATGCATCCCGCCATGCCATGGTGATTCCATCATTTATTTAGGCATCTTGATGGTTGCTTTTCTCTAGTTGCCTCAGGCATCCCTGCCACTCTTTCCTCACCTTCAGTGTTTCCCATCTACACAATGGAATCTGTAATGCTGACCTCTCCAGGGCTCATGTATGAAAGAAGTTCTTCCATTCAACATGTGGCTTTTCAGTCAGTGACTATCACGACAAGGAAAGCAGGATAGGAAGTAGCCACAGTGACTGGAGGGAGACCTGTGCAGCAGAAGCCACCCCCAGATGTGAGTAAGGGACCATGGCCCCCAGCGCAGGGATTTATGTCGGCTGCTTGGATATATTGATGCAGGCGATGCCTTAGTTAGATTGAACCCCCCCCCCATAAGTAGCAGGGTGCCTTCACAGAGCCGATGTGTTGGCTGTTATGGAGACATTTCTACCCTTAACTTGCAGGGTGTACCCACCCTTCCTGTACTGCTGTGTGCTTATGAAATGTTTGGTCCCTCCCTTGCCAGACTGGACCACAGTGGCTCTTCTGGTCATGGAGGTTGTCTCAGATGGGTCACAGCCTGGAGCTTGAAAGGAAAGCTAGAAGGAAACACCCATGCAAGAGGCTGGCTTATTCTGCAAACCGGCGGGTGGTTTCCTGCCAGACTTCTACCCACTTCAGTATGTAATTCTTGGAATCTGGAGCTGATCAAGTTTAGCTGTCCTTTAAAATGGTTCCTTTTGCTGCTCGCATTTGCCAAATGAATAGAGATTTCTGTCTTGCTGTCATTTTACCTGAATACAGAGAAGCAAAGATACAAAGCCATTCACAGGGAAGGCTTCTCAGGGCTCCTGCTCTGCAGGTGTGATTCTTTGTGTAAAGTTACCAGAGAAACGGTTCAGATGGGTAACTGACAGGGAAATTGGTCTCCAAGTTTTAAGACTCCTTGAATGTGTAGCTGAAATGGAGGAAGAAAAAAGGGCTGAGAGGGTTGTTTTTGCCAAGTGCTTTGAGATTTGCAGAATAAGGCAGGCATAGTAGAGATGCTGTGTTGCTATGCCATGATAAACTCTGGTTTATTGTGAAGGAAGCCAGCTCCAGGCACATTCATTCCTGGGGCCTTCTCCCAATCTGGCTTCAGGTTTCAATGAACCACTTTCGCATGGCATCTGAACCTGACAGACTACAGTTTTTTGAAACAAGTCTGCTTTGTAACCTGTGGTTGAAGTTGGCTTGTTTGAAGGAAACCATAGTTAAGATAAACCACCATTTGTCAGATCTGGATGACGTAACAAGCTGTGTTTAATCAGAAATTGGAAGTTCGAGCTTGTGGTGGCGCTGGAAGAGGAGGAGGGCTCTTGTGTGAGTCCAAGGCTTACTCAGCCTTCTTCTCATCTTAATAAACCAGTCTCTCCTATCTGGATACAGCCCTCTTGGTCTGTTGATGAGGCTGGAGAAATCTCAGGCACCACAAAACTGGATTCAGGCAGCTAGGAATTTTGCAGTCTCCTTCCAGGCTTCACGGGCATAACCTCAGTTTCCTTCTGACAAAGACCAGTGAAACAAGACAAGAGAACAGGCCTTGAGTTGACCCAGTTGTGCAAATGACGGATGTCAAATGCAGAAGTTGTTTCAGGGAGGGGCTCCAAGCATCAAACCCTAACCAGTGTTGCTACAGAGCAACGCGTCAGCAAACTTTTGTTTGGATTGCAAGGAGGAGGAAAATGCTTCTTCAAAGCACTGGAAAGCAGTATTTAATCTGCCACAGCTGTAAGGCAGAGGGTGGGGATGCTTTGTAATGTGTCACATGCCTTTTGTGCTCTAGTTCAGCGGGGGGGGGGGGAGCCTGTGACCCTCCAAATAGTGACCCTTAGGATGGCCGATGGAGGTGAGGGGAGTTGTTGCTTGACAACATCTGGAGGGACAAAAATTCCCTGTCCCTGTGCTAGCCCAACAGACTGAAATGACAATCTTAATTGGCATTTTCAGAAGCATAAGCTATTTTAACTTGCAGCGAAATCCCTTCTGTGAATCCCTGCAGCTTTGGGTAGTGCTCTCCTCCCTGCATTTGTCTTGCCCTCTTTTAAAGCCTTCCCACTTGGTGCCCACCGCTGTCCTCAAGAGGGGCGCCAAGCTTTTCTGGGGAGTGTGGTAGGCGAAGCAGAAGTGTTTTCTGCCAAGAACTACTTAAGTTAACTTGCCTTAGGATCCAAGCGTTTACTCCCAAAGATGGACCCTCTTCTTTTTATTCTTTTTGTGAATGTGTTTTACTGTTTTCAAAGAAAGAAATTAACAGATACCAACTGTACAAAAAAAATCTAGAGGCAAGTCCCATATTTGAAAACTAAGGAGGGTACGTTAACCCCAAGAACCTAACTCACACAGTTTCTTGGTTAAAGGGACAGAGCGTCTGCTCCACAATGCTGTGGGTGCTGCCAGTGTGTCCTTGTGCTCTTGGGGCCCCAAGGGAAGAAGGAGGCTGCTTGACGGCCAGCACATCATCCAGCCACTCCTCTGCACGACTGGAAACGGAGGTGGCTTTGCAGTTGGTTGCTGAAGCCCTGCAAATAGGATAGACCGTTTTGCAGAATACCGACCCTCAATACACTCACATGCAAGGTGTCTCTCTGTGCCCCATTTGGCAGTGCCCTCCCCCAACCCCACATGTATCTTGAGCTGCCTTAGTGCTTCAGATGCAGTGTTCTCATTTGGCAAACATTTAAAGCACACAGGGCAGCCATGAAGACTAAGAAAGATCCTCCCAAGCAGAGGCTGGGGTTTAAACGCATGCTAGGAGCACGGGAAGCTGCCTTCTCCTGAGTTAGACCGCTTAGCTCAGTGCTGTTGACACTGGCTGGCAGCAGCTCTCCAAGGTCTCTGGCAGGGAGGCTTTTCCCAGCCCCCCCCCCCGGAGGTGCCATTGAGGATGGAAGCTGGACCTGCGTGCAAAGCAGGCGCTGGGGGTGGACAGGTTCTGACCCCTGGGCGCTTGACACTTGGCTCTCCTTTCTTTCTGAGAGGAAGCTGACTTCTGGCAGCCGGATATCTCTGCTTATGAGAAAGTCCTTTCGGAGAGGAGGAGAGACGGGGGCTTCCCTGACCGTTCTCTGCTCCGTTTGGAGATGGAGCAATGATGACCTGCATTGGGGACCCTTTTCCATGGCAGAGGCTCTGTCTTCAGTTCACTCAGGTTGCTCTTTATTGCGTACATAATCAAACGAAATACAGTTAGAGGAGCAAGCATGGGGCGACTTTCAGTTTGATTCCTGACTGAGGGGGTGAACTGGAGCATTTCCAGACAGGCCTTGTGTTCCCTGGCTGTTTTCTGTGGAGCGTCGCAGGCCAGTCTCCCTCCTGATGCCTCCGTTGCTGCAGCATTGGTTACAGTTACATCGGTTTGTGTGGCCTCTCATCCTTGGCTGCTCCTCCAGTCTTGGATTGGGTTTCTCTGGTTTGTTGGTGCAGGAGCTCCTGCCACCCCCTTGACCCCACTGTTGGCCCTTCGCCTGAGGTTTGCTCCCTGGATGCTGCGCCTGAAAAGGGTGGGGGCCTCTGTTCATAGCCAGGGGGGCAGGGGATGGCGAACCAGGGTGGGATGGAGCAGAGCAGCCCAGGGGCTGGGCAACCTGCCTGCCCCCTTGCCTGCAGGGGCATCAGTAGCTGCCCTCACTGTGTGGGGGCCACCCTTCCCAGCCTCTCCCTCTTGCCTGCCAGGGTATAGCATTCAGCTCTTACTGGGCCCTTTCCCCGGTTTTTAATTGGGCACATCTTTTGTAAGCCTATTAGGAGGGCAAAGCAGGATATCAGGGTCCTAAATAAAACTTCTAAAACATTCTGCCCATTTGGGAATCCTGGTGGCAGAAAGCGTTGAGCCTCCTTGCCGGCCTGCTCCATTTGTTGCAGGAGAAGCAGCCAAGGGAGGGGGTGGGATGGCAGAGCTCCGCTCAAGCTGGCTCCCCTCTCCTCAGCAGGCAGTTCCTCTGGCTTTCTGTCTGCAAAAAGCCATCCAGGCAGGTGCTGCTGGCTAAAGAGGATTTTTAAACTTACCCAAGCACTGCTTTCCTACTGAAGATGCCCTCCCCCCTTCTGTAAGTAAAGAAATGTGGCCAAGGCATGGCTGGCATCACCCTCAGAACCCTCCTTTCACGTGTCTGGGGTGTCCTCCGTTGGTTCCTGGTGCTGCTTGTGGGTCCATCTGCTCCAGTTGGTTGTCCAACGGGCTCCAGCCCTTCTGGACGCCACTGTTCCTTGAGGGAGGGAGAGCACAAACGGCTGTGGGTCAGGCCGGCCTGGGCCTCGTCACTCTTGTTAACGCCAGGCAAGAGGCACCTGCAGGTTGGCGCTTCTGCCAGAAGCATCCCCGCTCAGCCAGGCGGAGGTCTGTGCATCATGGCTGGCCTGTGTCTGGGGCAGTCTCCTTGCATGGTGCTTTCTCAAAGGAGCCAAGGGAATAACATTCACTTTCTGGCAGGCTGCTGATGCCTAGGAATAATCAGAGTCCATTTGCATAGCTCTCCAGGAACAACCTTTGCTGGATTTGAGAGGGCCTGCTTTGCCGCTTAGACCCAAATGAACACTTTGCCTCTTTCCCTGCCTCCTCCCCAATGGAAACGGTGAGAAGGGAGGAATGACCCTTTGCTTCATGGCTATCGTCCCCTCTGGCCCGCAGCTGCAGAGCCTGTCAGCTGTTTCCCGGCTGTGTGGTCCCCTGCAGCTGGACTGTGCATCCCAGTTGCGGGGTGTGTGTGTGTGTGTGTGTGTGTGTGTGTGAAGAGACTTTCCTGGGTGGCTCTGCCCACTGGCTGCGTTCCTCACACCGATCCTACAGCTTCATGGAGATCAGCGTGTGGGGAAAGGGCTCTGTGTGAAAGGGGAATCGAAAAGGCAATTTTTTCAAAAAAGGTAGTCACCCTCCCTCCTAAATGGCAGGAGAGCCCTTTTCCACAAACGGGTTTGGCAGCGCCATGCCTGGAGTGGGGAGAGTGTTTCTGTGGCACCCGGTGGCAAATTGAGGTCCCACCTGGCATTGGCAGTTGCGGTTGACTCCGCTCTGTGGAGGCATCCTCTGAGAGGCGACTCATTTTGCAAGCAGCCCTGAGTGCTTGGCTGCAGTTGTTGACACTGAAGCCGCCTTCTTCTCAGAGTTGGCATTCAAACAATAGGAATCTGGCCAGACCTAAATGGGGAAGCCAGTGCCACTGAAACTGCAGGGACTTCCAGGAGTGCCTGGAGATCAGGGCCCCAGTGCAGGGTGTCTCCCTCTGCTACACAGTCCTCCTCCACCCCGTGCCTCTTGGTTGTGCCAGGATGGAGCACCCCCATCCCTCAGACCCCTCCAGGGAGATCCACTGTAAGCCTTTCTGAAGTTGAACTGGCTGCTTTGCGTGCGGTGGGTCTTATGTTAGCAACCGACAACTTTCCCAGGGAGTCTGGAGGGTGTGACATCTCCGTCTGTTTCTCCTTGCAGGGCTGCTTTGGAAGATGTGGAAGGAGATGTGACAGAGCTAGAGCAGAAGCTGGACAAGGTGAGCAAACATCACCTGGGCAGTTCCACCCCCATCTTGCTCCTCAGGGGGTCCCTTAGGAGAAGGTTTGGGGAGGGAGAAGCAAAGTTCTGTTGCGTAAGCATAAATCCTTGCTCTAGTGGAAGGGGGATATTGAATGCCACCCTTTAGGCCCAACTCCTAGTTGAAGCCAGTTGTGCTCCTGGAACCTGGGGGTCAACTAACTGCCAGTCAACTGTTGAGGTGGGCATTGCCATGTGGAACGCAACCAGTTTCTGGAAATCGCAGGTGGGCAGAGTGGCGGCCGTTGTGTTCAGGTCCTGCTGGTGTGCTTCTCATGGGGTGGGGGCATCTGAATGGCCCCTGTGAGAACAGGAGACTGGACTAGATGGAGTCCCTTTGGCCGGATCCAGCAACAAGACAGCAGGGTCTGTCCCATCCAGCATTTTCATCTGCCAAGGTGGTCAGCCAGATGTTGGAGGAAAAGGGCATTTGCTCTTCTTTGCTGCAGAGTAGATATGTTGAGAGACGACCGCGGCCATGAGATAGGAAGACTCTGCTGCTTCTCTTTCAGTTAGTGAAGCTTTGCATTGCGATGATTGACACGGGGAAGGCCTTCTGCCTGGCAAACAAGCAGTTCATCCATGGCATTCAGGACCTGGCTCAGTATTCCAGCAAGGATGCCCTCGTGGAGGTAAGTGCCCCCTGCCAAGTGGGCTCAGAAGAGTTCCATATTCTGGGGTCTAGAGCTTCCCCTCGCCTGGGGAACGGGCGGGGGGGGGGCTGCCTGCCTGGGCGCCTGAGTGGGCTTTTCTTAACCGGGGGCGGGAGGTGGAATCCACAGCCCATCCAGGGAGGAGCTGTTCCTAAGAGAGTGTAGGAACTTAGATGGGCTCCCCATTAAATATCTGTTGCTTTCATCTCCTGAAGCTAAGCGTACTTGGCTCTTCAGCCTTTAAATGGTAAGTATATCTGTTAGTTCATGCTGACCCCTTGAGAGAAGTTGGAGAAGAGGAATGTTTGCAAGAGCAGAATCCCGCCCTCCCCTCCCGGCCCCCAGTGCAGCCGCAGTCTCTGCTGATCCCTTTGGGAGAGGGGGCTTCCCTGCTGTTCCCTGGGCAGGAATAATCTATCTGGCCTTGTTGCTTCCTCTCCCCGCCCCCCCCCCTTTGCAGACCAGCTTGACGAAGTTCTCCGACAGCCTCCAAGAGATGATCAATTACCACACTGTAAGTTTCAGAAGCAGCTCCGCTTTTCTCCTCTATGGATTTAGAAAGCTGCTTGATAGAGATGTGAAAGTTTTTCTTCCCTGTGTTTCGTCTCCAAGACACTTAGAAATGAAATGCCTCCTTAAAAGATTTAAAATCTCTCTCTCTCTCTCTTTATTAAAAAAATGTGTGTTTTGAAGTCCCGATGGAGCGTGTGTGACTCGGTTGTTCCAGCTTCCTGGAACATCGCAGCTCTTGGCACTCTCTGCCGGTTGCCTTGGCTGGCCATCTGGGAACTCTGCCTCCCTCCCTCTGTCAGGCATGGGGGTGACTCTGCAGCCAGAGTCTGTGCGGGGCCTTGCACATCTTCATTTCTAGCCTCCTTAACACGGAGGCTTTGTCAGAGATGACTCCTGCAGCCTCGTGGCAGCCTGCCGAATGGCGTGGCTGATTCTTTCAGCTGCGGCGAAAGAAGGAAGCGTCCGCCATGCATCTTCCCAGCATGGGGGAAAAAAAGAGAGATGGAAGGAAGGGAGGGGCTCTTCTCCCTCCCGCCGACATTTTTGCGGCTTGTTTGCGCAGTCCCAGAGCAGGACTCTGGAGCTTAGAAACCCCAAATTTCCATCTCTCAGTGCCCCCTTGTGGAAGGCACAGGGGCAGCGCTAGTGGGGAAAGGCAGGAAGAACTTCAGTGGGGAGACTGGCTGGACGTTGGAAGGTGCCTTGGAGCAAGAGGCGTCCAGAGAGTCCCGGCAGCGCTTCTCCAAGGCTGAGAGGGCATGCGGTGGGGGGGGGGTTCCTCCCTGGGGCGTCCTGCACGCAACCTGTGGCCCGAGGGGAGCCTTCTTGGGCCCAGGCGCAATGACTTTCCTTCTGGGCCTGTTTATGAGGCTGTGGGCTGGGGCCCTTCTTGCTTAGCCAAGTGGAGGGGTGCGCAGTGTGTGGTCTTTGAGGCAGAGGCTAAGGGAGGGAGCCAGGTGGGCCCTGGGGTTCAGCGCAGGGCTGCAGCTGCTCCTCCGGCAGGTGCTCCCCCCCCCCCCGCAGCCTCAGTCCTGTTGCGCCTGCCTTCCATTTCTGATCCTATTTGGGAAGGGGGAAATCCAGGGCCCAGGAAAGGTGGGGGCTTTATGTTCTTTTCCCCCCTTTTTTTCTTTTTTTGCTGTTCAGTCAGCTGAAAGATGTGGGTCCAGCTGAAGGGGCTCCATTGGAAGCAGGAAAGTGCCTGGCAGCCATGGGAGGAGAGGCCCCGGGAAGCCTCCTCCATTTGAGCAGCTTGCAGAGTGTTGGGGGGGGGAGGCAGTACTGGCAGAGTGGGGCTGGGTTGGGGGTTCACTGCGCTGCTGCAGCATAACTTGGTCCTTGGTTAGGGGTAGGCCTTTCTCTGGCTGGTCTGTTGAGTCATAAAACCATTCCTGCCCTGTCTTTTGGTCACTGAAAGGGGCCCCCAAGGTGGCTTGTGGCATTATAATCCCACAGTAGCAAATGCTAAGGAGAGAGCATCAAATGATGCTAAAGAAAATGAGACAGTGGGGAGGGGTGGTGGTCACAGTCCCGAGATAAAGCCGACTGCCTAAAGCCCTCCAAGGCTCATGGAGCCAGCCGTGAAGGTGAACATTGATACTGTGTGCTGAAAAATAGTTCTGCAGCCAGTGAAGTTGTTCAGGAGCTGCTGAGCGATATTCCCTTTGGCATGTCCTAGTCACCAACTGGGCAGCTGTATTCTGGACCAGTCGCTGCTGGCGCTGTCTTCAAGGGCTGCTCCATAGGCAGCCCATGGCAGTAGCCTAACCTGGATGCCAACAGTTCATGCATGGCAGAGGGCGGGCAGCCTCTGTTATTTGTACCTCCTCTGGCTCCATGGTGAGCTTGCTGTATAATCTGAAATATCCTTTGAGTTTAAAAAGAAAAGTGAAAGGTGGCAAATTGCAGAAGCTCATTCTCTGGGCTCTGTTGCCTGGGGACCCTTAGAGAACCGGGAGGAAGAGGAGGCTAGAGGTGCTGGGGCCTGGAGTGCCTTTGAGCCTAACTCTCCAAGCATTTCCTCCATGTTTTTATAATGTTGCACTGTTTTAGTGTTGTTAGCCGCCCTGAGCCCGGCTTCGGCTGGGGAGGGCGGGATATAAATAAAATTTTTATTATTATTATTATTATTATTATTTATTTCAGATCCTGTTTGACCAAACACAAAGATCAATTAAAGCGCAGCTTCAGACGTTCGTTAAAGAGTAAGTAAGACTTGTGCTTAAAGAGTCTGGGGGGGGGGTCAGGCTTCCAGGAGGGGCTGCGGAGCAGCTGGACTCAGGTTACATATCTTCAAGGTTTCCTCGTCACTTGGGCATGCAGATGGGGCAAGATCTTGCCTTACCATGGAGTTTTCTGATGCTGGAGAAGAGGCATGCCCAAACTCGGCCCTCCACCATCCCTAGCTAACAGGACCCGTGGTCAGGGATGATGGGAATTGTAGTCCAAAAACATCTGGAGGGCTGAGTTTGGGGATGCCTGCTGGAGAAGAAGCAAAGGCTTTCCTGCCATGGAAGCCAAAGCCCAGCCTGGGTCTCCCAGCCTGGGTTGGGCTTCCGGTTTGTTCCTCTGCCGCTCCTGAGCCACGATGGAAGTGCCAGGCCTCATTCTGCTGAGCCCCCTCGCTTGCCCCCAGGTAGGCACTCCTGTGCCCGCTCTCTCTGTCTGTTGTGCCCTCCCCGTCCATGAAGCCATCTCTGCATTCAGCCCCGGTTCCCCTGTGAAGCCGCCTGGGTGCTGCTGTGCTGCGAAGGGCAGCTGATGGAGGGGAGCCCTGTGTTTCCCTTGCGCTCTAGAGATATCCGAAAGTTCAAAGATGCCAAGAAGCAGTTTGAGAAAGTCAGCGAAGAGAAGGAGAATGCCCTGGCCAAGAACGCCCAGGTCCCACGGACCAAGCAGCACGAAGTGGAAGAGGCCACCAACATCCTGACGGCCACCAGGAAATGCTTCCGCCACATCGCTCTCGACTACGTCCTGCAGGTGGGCCGCCCGCGGGGGCTTTGGGAAAGGGCCAAGGAAATGTGTTGCTGCTTCTAGGGGACTCTGGGGGTGGGGCTGCATCAGGCAGAGCAGAGGTCTTGCTTGGCTTAGCAGGAGACCCGGAGGCAGGTGGAAACAAAGCCAAGGGCTGGCAGTCAGGCCTTGGCTGTGAAGGCTCCGAGCAAGTCAGGAGAAGCTCAGCAGTTACCTCTAGTGACTTGGGTATTCTCCATGAAGCCCCCCACTGCCGGAATTGGCGTGGGGAGGGGTCTTTGTGGAAGGCTCACCAGGGGCCAGAGCTGGAGCTTCTAGCCCCGTTTCTGATGGAGAGGCCTCCTCCACTTTCTCTGAAGTTGGCTGTTCCTTGGGTTCTGGGCTGTGAGCAACACCTCCAGGTGAAGTAGCCCACTGAGCCCCTTCAAGAAGCCAGGATAGGTGGAAGGACAGCTGCAGGGTGACGAGAGCCTTGGGAGGGGGGTTCTGCCTTATTTGGCTGCCCTGGCTTTATGGATTTCTTTGTTCCTGATGTCCAGAAAGAGAAATGTGCTTGTTTAAAAAGTAGCTTTGACTGTCCTTCCCAAAGTTAGCTGCCCTTCTAGCAGCCTCACCGTGACTGGTGCAGGAAGAGGAAGCTGGAGCGTGTCTGGTGACTGAACAAAGGGCTTTGGAGACGGAACCATGGGAAAGAGAAGGGTCTCTCAAAGCAGCAGAAAGGAGACCCAAGTGGGGAATCCTCCCTGGCTTAGCTGGAGAGAGCTCTGGCTTGGAGAGGAGTCAGGCCAGTCCTCTTGGGAGGCCAATGAGCCACCCGCCTTTGCTGGAACTCTGGTGCTCTGGGGTTGCAGACCCAGCGGGTGCCTTGCAAACAAGAAGCGTCCCAGGTGCAACGTTGGCTTGAGCTGGTCTTGAGTTTCCCATCCTTCTGCTTGTTTTGTGACTCCTGCTGCCAGCCTTGCGCTGCTCCTGCAGAAGCTTCTAGCTCTTCCTTCCCACGCTCTGTTGCCGGCATATTGACAGGATTCATTTTGCCCCCTAGATTAACGTTCTTCAGTCAAAGAGGAGATCAGAGATCCTAAAATCGGTAAGCTTCTCATGCCCCCGCCAGGAAATACTGCAGGCTTGGAACTGATGGGCGAATGTGTCCCTGAGGGACCTGGGTCTGGTGCCAGGTTCCGCCCTGTGGGAGCTGCTGGAATGAGCGGCTGTTTGCGTGGGGCCACTTTTGCCAGGTGTAGGAGGGCAGAGGGAGGGTGATGAGAGCTTGGCATCGAGGGCGGAGTGTGAGGGATGCTGGAAGCCCCCTGAGACCTTGCCTCTTCCTCCCTGCCAGATGCTGTCCTTCATGTATGCCCACCTGGCCTTTTTCCATCAAGGCTACGACCTTTTCAGTGAACTTGGACCCTACATGAAAGACCTTGGAGCTCAGGTAACGACTGCAGTGGGTGGCTGGGTCTCTCTCCCGGGGACGGAGCTGGCCTTCATGCTCTCTCCTCTGGCGGTGGAGCAGGGCTCTCCTCCTCCTCCGCTGCTGCTGCTCCTGCCGTGAGAAGGGCTGGCCGGGCAGCTGGCTCTGGAGCGGCTCAGGCGGCATGAGTCATCCTTTTCTCCAGCCGGCCCTTGCGCTGCACCAGCCCCACCGCAGGTCCCTGGCACCTTGGCTATTCTGGGAAGCCAACTCCTTGGAGCAGCGGCAGGAAGCGGGCAGGCCCTGCCCAGCCTCAGGTCGGGAATCTGGCAGGTAGGCTGCCAGGGGAGGGGAGCTCGCCGGGCAGGGGGGCATCCTGGCACACCGAGCAAGGCGCCCCACCTCTCGGGCCCTGGAGGTACAGGAGCCTGCACTGCCAACTCTCTTCCTTTCTTACAGCTTGAGAGGCTGGCTGTAGATGCTGTGAGGGAGAAGAAGGAGATGGAGCACAAACACTCCACCATTCAGCAAAAGGTACGGTGGGGGCAGCCAGTCCACCCGCTTGGTCTCTCTCTTCTGGCTGCATCGAAAAAGTTCCCCAGTGTGCTCCCGCTGCCAGCAGGGCTTCCAGGGCACTCTCCCAGCCCCCAGCCCCCCAGTGCCAGCTGCCCAGGGGGCACTATGGGGAGGGAGAAGCCAGGGCTACCCAGGTCCTCTGTGGATGCCCACTCTGGCCCTCCAGTAAGGCCAAGGCGGCTGCCTGCCACTCGGCGGGACCGCCAACGAAGCCATCTCTGTAGAAACAGGCTCTTAGAAGGTTGTCACATGTGTTGAGCTGGACTGGGTGCTGTTTATTTTTAAATTTAGGAATTGCCTTTTACATGTTTGTCAAGACAGTTTACAAACATAGCTAAAAATAGTTTAAAAAACAGTACAACAACCCCTCCCCAGAAAGAATCACAAAGAGGTTTGAAAACAGCACTATTATTATTGCTTCTGAGTCTCGGCCCTTGAAAATGTAAGTCAGCAGCCCATTCTGAAGCTGGTCTTGGGAAGACCAAGGCAAAAGAGAACCAAAGTAGTCCAAATTTATCTTCTGTACCATGAAAATAAATAAAAACAGTATTTTAAAAGAGAGGGAGGGAGGAGCAAAGGGCTGCTGCGTTTTGGGGGGAGGTCAGAGGTGTCCTCTGCCTCTCGGCTTTCTCAGGGCACAGGCAGGATTCTGCTTCCCCGCGTGATGGAGCTGCAGATCCCTGGGACTGTGCTGCTGCTGAGAGCTGCTTCTGGAGGACCCCAAAGGGACAAACTCTGGTCATCTGACTCAGGTGGCCTCCTGCCTCTTTCCACCAACCTGACCCAGGAGCTGCCACTCCAGTTGGGTTCAGAAGCAACTTGTTGAGACCCCCAATTTCTCCTTCCCTGCCCAAGGCAGGGCTGTGCAGGATTTCTTGAGTTGTGGGGCTCAGCTGCCCCACCATCTCCCCCACAGCTGCCCTCCCATGTCAGCTTGCAAGGGGAACCCTAACAGCTTGCCCAAGAAGGGCAAGCAAGACAGGAAGAGTCCATTTCTTTGTGAATGAAGCCTTCAGGCGTGAAGAGTCTCCGCTGTACCTGCCGCCACCAGAAGGGAGACTGGTGCCCCATCTGCTGCCACTCACTTTCCACTTCATGGCAGACTGTCTTATTTTGGGGTGAGGGGGACCGGCCTGGGAGAGGTGCCCCATCTTGCTGCCCTTGTTGAACAAGGTGCCTCTTTTCTGCCAGGACTTTGCCAGCGATGACCCTCTGCTAGAGTACAATGTGGATGCCGCCAGTGGCGTCGTCATGGAAGGCTACCTCTTCAAGCGAGCCAGCAACGCCTTCAAGACCTGGAACAGGTACCCGGCTTCCTCTTTGGCCTCCTCCTCTTCCTGCTGCTACCACTGTCTGTGGCCTGGGCTGGGCTTTGCTGTGTGCTCCCCCAAGACAGGCTGCTCTCTTCCCCTTCCCACTTGTGGCTCTCTGACCTCTGAGGCAGATGCATCACCTTCCGTCGCCTCCCCTCCACACAGGACTAATCCCTTTAACAGCACATGGAGGGGGTCACAAATTTGCACCCCTAGTTTTGCTGTCTGTGAGCTTCTCTCTGCTGGGTTTTTCCGATCATCATGCATTTTTCTGCCCAAATCCCCTGTAAACCATCATCAATGGGGAAAGGTGGGCCTGGAATGGTGGGTCTGTGGGGTGCCAGGCTCCCTAGGAGGGTCAGGGTGAGTTCACACTGCTGCACTGGCCCGTCTGCCACCTTTCAGTGGGAGTGTGGCATTACCTGCCAAAATCAGATGGAGGCGCTGTGTGTGCCTGTCGGCTTGGAAGCTGCCCCTTGAGGCCATGCCGCCCTCACCCACCCTGCTGGCTGCCTTGCGTTGCCCTTTGACCCTCAGCTCAGAAATAAGGAGAAGAGAGGCGGTGGGGCCTGTTCTTTCCCCCCATGAGATCTTCTGCAGCTTGCTATTTCCAAATGGGACCATGCCCTTTCCCTGCCTGCCTGCCCCACTCCATACTGCCTCTTGGATGGGCACTGGCTTCCCTGAGCCAAAGGAGCGTGCAGGACCCTCGTGGAGGCCTCGCCTGCTGCCAGGTGCCAACAGCCGCGTCTCCTGGCGTGTCCTGCCCCTGGGTCATGTTTCCTTCCTTGCCATGCAAGCAGCAGGGGAGTATCTGCCCAGATCCTTGCCTGGTGAGCTGATAGCACTTGGGGGATTTTAGTAAAGGAATGAATTGAACTCTTTTCCCTATTGGGGTCAAGCCTTTGCCAGGCTGGCAGTGAGCTTAAAAGTCCAGATCGGGCCTTGTTGGGAAAGAAGCCAGACTTGGGCCTTGTTCTGCGCTTGGTGTGTCCCTTCAAAGGGTCAAGCAGGGGCTGTTTCTGAGCTCTGGCCTGGCAAGTGGAGGGCTCTCCGTGGTGAAGGAGTGGCTCTTGCCTTGCCCATTGCGTCCTTTGCAAGATTTCCAACCTGCCCTTTGCCACGAGGTTCCAGGAATATCTGCACCTTCGAGAAGCATGGGTGTCTGAGCCCTTTGAGGTGTGCGTGGTGGCTTTGCTCCTGGGGGGCAGGAGGGTCTACTGGGGAGAGGGCTGCCTTGAGGATGGAGGGCTCTCTCCAGAGACACCCGCCTGGCACCTGCCTTGTCCTCCCGGTGCCAGCCAAAGAGCAGCTGAGACAAAATCCCAAGTCTGCTTGGTCTGGTGTCATCTGGCTCATCAGATCTTCCTTTCTTTCTAAAACTGTTTATTATTGTTCTGCTTTGTGTTTAGCTCTGTTTTAATTGTGTTTTCCTTTTACATAAGCTGCCCCTGGGATTCCTGTTGAAGAGGAGGGGGTGTCTAGAGGTTTCTTTAGTTGCAGAGAATTCCCGCATTTTCTTTCCTGTGTGTGTCTTGAAGGGCTCCAGGTTGCGGCAGCTCCCTAGCCACTCCCCGGGGTTCCTTGGCTGCCATAAGATGCCACCGAGAGAGAGAGGCCCTGTGGCTTAGCCCTCCCTCCCTGGGTCAGCTGAAATGGGGGTGCCTTGCTTCCTCTTCTGCTCTGCTCTCTGCTTATTTGTTTGCGGGGGGCTTTGTTTCTTTTTAACATGTTCATTACTTCACCTCCTTTCCCCCACCTAACCCTCCCATTTTCTCCACCTGACAGGAAAAGCCCGATGGCATCAGGTACCAGCCAGATTCCGGCATCCTCTCCCTCCCTCCTTCCTCTTCCTCTTTGGCCCAGCATGCAAGCTCTGAATCTAACCCTTAACCCTTTTCGCTCCAACAACTTGCAATGGATGGCAAACCACGTGTCTCCGTCCCCCTCGGGAGTCACGGCCCCTCCTGCTGCTGCTGCTCCATGGCTGAAGCAGGTTTGGTGGTTTAGGATCCCCCCCGCCCCGGTGTATGAGGGCTGCCCTTTTCTGTGATACAAGAGGGGGCTGGCATTTGGTAGCTGCAGTGGGTCAGAGTGCTGTAGGCTCCGCCTCTGAGGAGGGGCTTCTCTGGAACCAGCGGAAAGCTGGCTGGGGGTCTCCAGGGACCCTGAAGTATTTGCCAGCTCCACAGCCGGTATTGTGCCCTTTTCCATGGGAAGGGGACAAGGCTCCGTCTTGGCTGCTGCCCCCCCCCGCCAGGAGTGCAGGATGACTTTCCCACTTCCTTCTCACTGCTCAGATCCAAGAGGCGCAGCCCTGGGGTTAGAGTGGAGCTCCGGGATCTCTGGGTTGCCACGAGGGGCTCAGTTCCTGCTTGCTCTTCCCAGAAGAAAAGTTTCCCTCTGAGGCTGAGTGAGCTTCTGGCCAATGGCAATGGAATGGGGGTCCGGGGAGGGGGGAGGCTGCAGTGATGCCTCAAGGTCTCCCAGCTGCAGCTCCTGCTGCACCTCCTTTCCCCTCTCCCCCCCCCCTCGGCCCCAGTCCTTGCAGCTGCTGACCCAGCTCTCCTGGCCACAGCGGAGGGGTGGAGGTAGACACCCATTTGAGGGGCAACCCAAACATGGAGTTAGTTGGGCTGCAGCCTCTGGACCAACCCCAAGGGGAGCCCCACCTCCAGCACATGGCAGCAATCCAGCCATGAGGCTCCCCATGCTTGGACAGCTGTGGTCTAGCTATTTGGATGTGGGTCCCAGCACTGGATGAAGAGCGGTCACGGCCATCTTTGCAGCGCAGCAGCATCATGCGATGCTCATTCCCCAACAGATACATACTCACTCTCTCTCTCTCCAAGGCTGATCAGGGTCTGGTGACTTCTCAGGAAAACAAGGGGGGCAGGGAGTTCTGCTACAAACCAGGCTAGAGTCCCACCCCCTCTTGGCTGGAGGGTCCCTCTCCCGACTAGCCCCACAAGGAAGGAAGCCTGCAGGCCTGCCCACCTGCCCCCCCTTGTGTTTCCTGGCAGCTGTTCTGCCTTTTGCCCCATTGCACATTGCCCCCCCCCACCTTCACCCCCAGGCATGGAGGGCCTGCCTTCTTCTTTTCTGTCTGCCTGGACTAGATGCTTGATCTTACTACTTTCTCCTCCAAACAGCAAACGTCTTGGTGTGTTTTGAAACGCAGCCATCTTAAATCTGGGCTGATGATTAACCTTGTGTAGGCCTAATGTCTGGAGTGTTGCACTTGCTTTGGAATAATGAAGTGTGTTAAGATAAAGTGGAACGTGGCGGGGCGGAGAGTCTTGCGCTGAGCCTCCGGGGGCCACGCGGCCTTCGCTTGCTCTCCTCTGGGGCGTTGTAAGGGCTCGATCTTGTTTAGGCAAGAGCCGCCTCTGGATTGTGGAGCGGAGGTGCAGCATTGACCAGAGCTGCCCGACTCAAAGCCTGCAACTCCCACCGTTATTATTTGCCAGGCGGTGCAAGGATCTCCCCAGCTTCAGGAAGCGATGCTGTAGGGGTCGCCTGCCATCTTTGTAGGGCAGACCTAGACGCCCTTGCTGCTCTGGTGCGTCAGAGGCTAGGTGGGGGCAGGCTTAAGGGATCATCTTGGTCTTTTCCCTGTTTTTCCTTTTATTTATTGCATTTCTATCCCTCCCTTTTCTCCATGGAGCTCAAGGGGACATAGACAGGCCTCCCTCCTCCTCCAACTTGGAACAAGTGGGAGTCAGACATCCAAATCCCCCCATGAGCTTCTCTTTCACCTGGCTTTGGCTCTGCCCCATGGCGGCCGTGCCCAGAGCCCTGGCCTGAGCTGGGCACTCTCTGCCTCCTTCCCTGTGCCTATGAAGAGCAGGTGAGGCACTTTCAATGCGCAAAACACTCTGACAGCTCCTGTGGCGTTTGTCCCGCCAGCCACCATAGGCAGAAGGCTCTGCTAAGGCTAGTGGTGATTTGCTGAAGCCCCCCTGTGACCTCCTGAGACCCCCTCCCCCCAGAGCCAGGCCCCGTGCGCTCTGTGTTTGTGGACTGGGGTGCTGCTGCCAGGGAGGGCTGTAGCTGCTGTGTGCCCAGGTCCTCTCTCTTCCTGGCTCCCTGGTTCCTGCTGCCAGGAGAGGGCTGTTGATTTTCCTCCCTTCGCTTGTGCAGGCGCTGGTTCTCCATCCAGAACAATCAGCTGGTCTACCAGAAGAAATTTAAGGTGAGTCCTGGGGAAGCATGCCTGGGGAGGGGGGCTCCAAGGGCTGGGGGGGCAGGAGGTTGGGACAGGTGGACCACTGGGATGGAGTATGGATGGAGTTACTTGGGGCACACTGCCTTTGGGGGGGGCCCTGCCTGGCCTTCAACTGCCTTTTCCTCTCCTCCCCAGGGCGAGGGGCAGGCAGTGGGGCTGCTAGCACAAAGCCCAGGGGAACAAAGTGGGGGACAGAGATGCCTGGGGCTTTGATGGCCCAGGAGAGATGCTTCTCCCCGGACTGCTTGGGTGTGAGATGTGGCTGGAGATGCTTTGGGCTCTGCAGGCAGGAGGGGCCCCAAAGGAGGGGTTCTGACCCCCATGCCTTGGGGACTGATTTCTTTGGGCGCACCCAAGGAGAGCTGGGATGCCTTAAGCCTTAAGAGACCCTCAGGCAGCCTTCATCCGTGGGGTGCCCTCTGGGGGCTGCCATCCTCCTTCCATCACAGGAGCAGTGGAAGCTGCCTTAGGCCAGTGGCTGGACTTGGTGTATCTGGCTGAGCCTGCCCACACTGACTGGCAGCAGCGTCTCTCCAGGCTTTCTGGCAGGGAGTTTCTTGCAGCCCCACTGGGGACTGAGTGTGGGCCCTTCTGCGTGGCAGGCGGGGGCTCTGCCCCATGGAGCTGCCGGGGCCCTTCTCTCATTTCTGTCCAGAGGTGTTCCTGGGTGAGCTTCCCTCAGGCTTGGCTGGAGGCCCACGTCCTCCTCCTTTCTCCCCAGGATAACCCCACGGTGGTGGTGGAAGACCTTCGGCTCTGCACAGTCAAGCACTGCGAAGATATTGAGAGGCGCTTCTGCTTTGAGGTCGTCTCCCCCACCAAGTAAGGGGGCCTTGGAAGGCGATGGGAGAGACGGGGGGCCCCTTCGGGTGATGAAGCCAGAGAGGCAGAGAATAGCCGAGGGTGGGGTGGCTCTGGGGGGCAGAAGGGCCAATGCGGGGGGCAGAAGCAAGGGGGAGAGAGGACAGATAAGTCAACGGTCGTCATCTAGGCTCATCGTCATCACTCTTCTAACTTTTGGTGGGAAGGTTCAGTGAATAGTTGCCAAAGTAGTGAAATAAAATATATTCTAAAAGTTAGCTGATAACTCATATTAGAATAAGATGCCATATCTGGGTTTTTTTTGTTTCAACATGTGTTTAAAATAGAAATTGGGCCCAAATTTGGTTTATTTTAACTGTTTGACACACACCCAAACATGGGCAAAGGGGCAGAAGCTGCCTTTCCTCCTCCTCCTCTTTTTGTCACTTGGCAGGCGGTTTTGCTTTCTTGGGGGGATTGGGAGGCCTATCTTGGCTCACCTGGTCCAGCTTCCTGCTGCCCCCAAGCTGGGAGCGAGGGGGAAGGCTCAGGGGCAGAGCATCAGCCTTGCTTGCAGGAGGTCAGTCCCCTGAGCTGCCTCTCCTTGTTCCTGAGGCTCAGCTCTGGGCTGGCTGTGCCAGGGGGCCTTGGCAGAGATGGGCAGGAGGGGTGTTTGTGCGTGTGGACTTGTCCAGCCATCTTGAGGCTCCTTCACCAGTCCTTGCTGGGGGACTCTGGAGCAGCTTCTTGGGGCCCTCACAGACATAGACCCACATGGCTGTCCATGCATGAGGGTCCTGGCTGCCCATTCAGGGCGCTTGATGGGTGGTTGGGGGCTTGCAGGCACGGTTGGTGTGAGGCAAACTGGCTCTAGGTGTGCTCAGCACCCACCCACCTTCCTTCCTTTATTTATTTTTCTCTCTCCCTCCCTCCCTTTCTCTCATCTCTTGTCTCTATCTGTCTGTCTCTCACAGGAGCTGCATCCTTCAGGCAGACTCAGAGAAGCTGCGGCAAGCGTGGATTAAGGCGGTACAAGCCAGCATTGCCACAGCCTACAGGGAGAAAGGGGACAGCCCAGAGGCAAGTGGGAGAGGAGCCCTTTCTCCCCCAGCGCAAGGGGCAGGGCAGCCTTGCGAAGAGAAGAGCATTGCTGCCGGCAAACGTCTCTCAAGGTGGCACAGCCTCCTGCTCTCCCTGCAGTGAAGCACATGAGGGCTTAAAGAGGAGCTAGGGGGAAGGAAGGAAGGCCTGCAGTGGCTGCTGCCTGTGTGGGGCAGATAGTGGAGGGCTTTGCCTTTCTGCCTTCTGCAGTCTGGGCTGCAGGCACAGGCGCCCAGAGAGCTGCCCAGGGGAGCCAGGCTGCAGGAGGAGGAGGAGGCAGCCCTTGACGTCTCGGCTGTGGCGGCTTTGCAGATTGGCGGCTGTCACACGAGTCCCTCTTTCTGCTTTTCTCCAGGTGGAGGGGAAGCCGTCCCCTTCCAGGGGGAGCCCGGAAACGGGCGCGGAACCCAAAGAGAAGCTGCTGAAAGGAGAGAGCTCTCTCCAGAGGGTGCAGAGCATTCCCGGCAACGCTGTCTGCTGCGACTGTGGCCTGGCAGACCCCCGGTGGGCCAGCATCAACCTGGGCATCACGCTGTGCATCGAGTGCTCTGGCATCCACAGGTGGGCAGGCTGGGCAGCTCAAGCCCCACACCAGGGAGGGAGGGAGGGAGGGAGGGCACACTTCCCACCCTGGCAGATTTCAGGCTCATTCTCCCTTTTTTCTTCTGCTTAGGAGCCTGGGTGTCCATTTCTCCAAAGTCCGCTCCTTGACGCTTGACTCCTGGGAGCCAGAGCTGCTCAAGGTATTTGCCCGCAGGTTGGGGCAGAAGGGAGCTGTGAGGAATCCCTCCTCCTCTTGTTGCACTTTGGGACCTGGGGGCAGTCCCTGGGGCCACATGGGCCTGGGAAGGGAAGAGAAGGCCCTCCTTCAAGGGTTCAGGGGCTGTCTCCGGGGGCAGGGGGGAGAGACCATCCTGCGCAGGGTCCTACGGGTGGCAGGGAACATAATATTCACCTGTAAAAAATTATACCAGACATGGTAACATTTGCATACTTCAGAGTTGAAATTGTGCTGTTGACATGAAATGCAATGGGTCTTTTTTCTTTAAATACTTAGGAATTGGTTGAACAATTTATTTCGTAAAGATTCACTGCTTGATTGCAGGAAAAAATCCTCAGAGTGGAATCCTTGGTGTTTGCATTAAGCCACTGCCATTTTGGGGGTGGCACAGAAGACTTTATAACAACTGTAAGGCAGACCAGGCCTTTCTGGTACAGAATTGCCTGTGCCCATTGCGGTCAGTGGCCTTGAGGGCACAAAGGGGCTTCTGGTTTCAGTGAGCCCCCCTCCCTCCTGCGTCTGGTCTTCTCTATCCAGCCAAGGGGAAGGAGGCAGGCTGTGTCCATGGCGGCTGACGGGTGCTACCGCCCCCCCCGAACCCGGGATGGTTTCTGCCTGACCAATGAGGTGCCATTTAAGGGCAAAGGTGACCCTGGGCTGGTGCTGCCCTTCCTTTCAACTCTCCCTTCATTTCGCTTGCAGCTGATGTGCGAATTGGGAAATGAGGTCATCAACAGGGTATATGAAGCAAACCTGGAGAAGACGGGCGTCAAGAAGCCTCAGCCTGGAAGCCAGAGGTAGGCGGAGGGATCGTAGGATGGTAGAGTTGGAAGGGACCACGAGGGGCATCCAGTCCAACCCCTTGCCCAACGTGGGGCTGGAACCCAAATTTAGATGTGGACTTTCAAAAGCAACAACACACACATATCTAAACACCTCCAGGTATAGGGTGGCATATAATTCAGCTAATAATAATATTAATAATAAATCCCCTTTGTTGTAAAATATGCATTTTAAAACATGTTTTGTTATCTTTTGAGGGCCCAAGTACTTGGTGCAATGCAAAATTCAGTGCAGTGCAAAATCTGAGGGAGGAACTTCATTCCGACCCCCGTCCTTATTCTGAGAGATGCAAGATTGATTTGTTTGGGGATTTGCAAGCTCCCTGAGCCCCTGTAAGGCAGGCGAGGAGGCGCCGCAGAACACAGACACCCCCCGCCCCCCCCCCCGGAGACACACAGCCCTGTGTGCTCATCTGGCCTCTTCCCCTTGCGCAGGCAGGAGAGGGAGGAGTACATCCGCGCCAAGTACGTGGAGAAGAGGTTTGTGGAGAGGTGTCCTGCTGCCTCCGGAGGGAAACCTCGCCCTCGGAGCCAGGGGCCTCAAAGGCACAGCGGCAGCCCGGAGGGGAGAGCCGAGGAAGAGGAGGGCCCCCCAACAGCCAAGGAGCAAATGGCGGCAGCTCTGAGAGGTAGGGGCCCCTTCCGCCGATGTGCCACAAGAGGCTCTGTGTGGAGGAGCCAGAACTCTCCTCCTTTCTCTGCCCCCTCTTCTGACTTCCATCCCTCCAGGAAATAAGAAACAGAGTCCGGATCATGTGGACGTTCTGCCTTTGCGAGGAAAGGGAGCGTTTGCTCTTGAGCTGCCTCCCGAGGGAGGCGGGTACTGCCCAGGCAGCTTGAGAGGGAGGCAGTGGGAAGCCTTGCTGGGGGGCAGGCCTCGCTCTGGGGTGGAAGGGGAGCACGTGCTCCTAGCCCAGTAGAGAGCCAGTGTGGTGTAGTGGTTAAGAGCGGTGGACTCGTAATCTGGGGAACCGGGTTCGCGTCTCCGCTCCTCCACCTGCAGCTGCTGGGTGACCTTGGGCCAGTCACACTTCTCTGAAGTCTCTCAGCCCCACTCACTTCACAGAGTGTTTGTTGTGGGGGAGGAAGGGAAAGGAGAATGTGAGCCGCTTTGAGACTCCTTAGGGTAGTGATAAAGCGGGATATCAAATCCAAACTCCTAGCAGTGGGGGGGGGTAGCCTTGTGAAAACCCAGGTGGGTGCAACATGGTAAAGTGTGGTGGGCAAGGGGTTTCAGGCGGGCTCTGGCACTGCTGCGGAAAGGACCAGTGGGGCGATTGTGGGGAGAGATGGACAAGGGGCAGTCAGGAATTCTCCTAGGTTTGCGCAAGGCTGGATGAAGCGCAGAGAGGTCCTGTTTCCCGCAGAAGCTCCCTGGGTGTCGTTCTGGGAAGGCTGTTGTGCCTCTGCTGCCCACCCTATACTAACTGGCTGCTTCTCCTCCCTCTCCTCCTCCTCTTCCTCCTCCTCCTTTCCTTCCTTCCTTCTTTCCTTCCTCCTGCCTGCTGGGCTCTGCTTTGCTAACTTGCATGCCCCCAGGGGTTGGTGTCAGTAGCGACGAGGTGAGGCGGGAATCCCTGTTCTGCCCCGATGAACTAGATTCACTCTTCTCCTACTTTGATACTGCCTCAAAGCTGCGGAGTAGTAAGTACCTCCCTCTCTCTCTCTCTCCCTCTCTCTCTTTCCTCTCTTTCTCCTCTCTCTCCCTCCCTCTCTCTCCCTCCCTCCCTCTGAGCTGTCCCTGTGCCTCTTTCTCACCTGCCCAGTGTCCTGCTTGGCGCTTCCCTTTGCCTGTCCTTCACCTGCTTGTTGTGTACACCTTGGAAGGGAACCGGAGAATAGATGAGCCTGCAGGATCAGGCCAGTGGCCCCTCGGGTCCAGCATCCTCTTCTCACAGGGGCCGACCAGCGGTCTGTGGGAAACCAGCAAGCAGATCTGAGTGCAAAAGCAGCCCCCCCCCTGCAGAATCCAGAAGCATCGCTGCCTCCAGCTGTGGAAGCAGAGCTGAGCCCCCCTGGCTAGGAACCTTTGCTAGCCCTCCTCCTTCTCTTTTAAAGCCATCTAGATGGGCTACTGCCTCCTGTGGCAGGGAGTTCCACAGTTCCACTATGTTCTGGGTGGAAAGGGGCTTACTTTTCTCTATCCTGAATCTTCCAAGATTCTTCTTCTCATTGGTTGCCCACGATCTCTGTTACGAGAGAGGAAGGAATTTTTTTCTCCATTCTCTCTCACGCAATGCATACTTCTACAAACTTCCATCATTGCACCCGTTACTCGCCCTTTCTCTAAACTGGAAAGTGCTGCAACTGTTCTTCACAGGGGAGTCCTGCCACCCCCTTCCTTGTTTTGGCTGCCCTTTTCTGAAGGGGAGACGGAGCCTGAGAGCCGTGGGGCTTCCGGGACGGTGTTTGCTTTTCCACCCGGTATTTGGGAGGCGAGACCCCGCTGGGGTGTTGGTGCCATGCTGCTGTGTGGGCGTCTCACGGCCGTGCTGCTTCTTCCCACAGTGCGCAGCAACGACAGCGGCTTCCAGCACAGCAGGGAGCAGCTGGCCTCTGCCGTCTCAGCCAGCACCTTGTATGAGCCAGGTGGGTTTTGCGGGCGGAACGCCAATCTAGGCAGCCTGGCATGGCCAAACCGTTGTCTCTCCCCTCCCCGCTGTGTCCCAAAGGTCTTGTTCCCTGTCCGCCACCTCCAATCCAGACCCCAGGGGCGTACAACTCTACAATAGAAGTGTAGAGTTGCCACCACGAGGGTCACCCAGTCCAACCCCTTGCAATGCCAGGATCAAAGGAGCATGGGGAACTGACGTTATTTGCCTGTTTTTTGCCCTTCTGTTTGCCCTTTTGGAGCTCTTCACCATCTCTCCGTTTCAACCGCCCTGAACAATTTAGCGTCACCAGCAAACTTGGCCCCCTGCCTGCTCACCCCTGACTCTAGATCCTTTATGAACAATTTAGAATAAGCCCCGGTCCCAGTCCCGATCCTTGGGGGACTCCGCTTTCTCCCTTTGGAGAACTGTCTGTGGATTCCTACTCTCTGCTTCCTGAAACTCAACCCACGAGAGGACCTCTCCTCTTCTTCTTCCTCCTCTGCTAAGCTTCCTCGGGAGTCTGGGGTGAGGTGCTTTGTCCAAAGCCTTTTGAAAGTCCACCGGATCTCCTCTCTCTGTGAAGGGTGTTTGGGGAGTCACACCACCACCTCCTCCTCCCCCCTTCCAGAGGCTGAAAGGCCTGAGGCTGCTGCTTCCGCTTCCCGAGACGCCCGGCCAGATGTTCCGGGGCTGCAGCTGTACTTGGCCTCCTTCCAGAAGAGCCTTCCTGGCATGGCTGAGGCGCTGGCGCACGGGGCGGACGTCAACTGGGTCAATGCAGCAGAGGGCAGGTCCACGCCGCTGATCCAGGCCGTCCTGGGGGTGAGCCTTGCTTTCTTCTGGCCCCATAGTGCCAGGCAGCTGGCGGAGGTGGAGAGCCAGGGGGTGGGTCCGAGGCCTTCTTTGGGCTCCCAGCTCAGCTGTGGTCTTCTCCGCAGGGCTCCTTGGTCACTTGTGAATTCCTGCTCCAGAACGGGGCCAACGTGAACCTCCAGGACTCCAAGGGCAGGGGCCCCCTCCACCATGCCACTGTCTTGGGGCACACCGGGTAGGTGCGCTTCTCGTTGCCCTTCTTGGTGGGGAGGAAGGGCCTTGAAAAGCCTCTGCATGGTGCTTATTTGGAAGGAGTCTTTTCTGTGGTGGCTCCCCATCCGTTTGTGGGGTGCTCTCCCCAGGGAGGCTCACCAGGCGCCTTCGCTGCATCTCTTTAGGCAAAAATGTTCTTTTTCTCCCAGGCCTTTGGCTAATTAAACAATCTGCATTTTAAGCTGAGGCCAAGGCCTTATTTTTGTTTGTTTGTTTGTTACTTGTATGTTTGTATGTTGTGTCTTTTTATTGTAAACCGCCCTGTGATCCTTGGATGAAGGGCAGCGTAGAAATTTAATGAAGAATGGCCATGAATGAATTAGCAGAGTAAGGGGGGATGGCCAGGCCTGGAGGAGAGCAAGGGGGGTCCTGCTTTGTGGGAGAAGAGATGGCAGGCAGGCAGCTGCCGGGGGACCTTGGGCCAGTCACGCTTCTCTGAAGTCTCTCAGCCCCACTCACCTCACAGAGTGTTTGTTGTGGGGCAGGAAGGGAAAGGAGATTGTGAGCCGCTTTGAGACTCCTTAAGGGGAGTGATAAAGCGGGATATCAAATCCAAACTCCTCCTCTTCTTCTTCGCAGGCAGGTGTGTTTGTTCCTGAAACGGGGCGCCAACCAACATGCCAAGGACGAGGAAGGGAAGGACCCCCTGAGTGTGGCCATTGAAGCTGCCAACGCGGATATAGTGACGCTGTGAGTAAGGCTGGGACGCCCCCCCAGTTGGCACCCCAGGGGCAGAGTTGCCCTGTCAGACCACAGAGCCTGTCAGCTCAGAGTGGGGCTCAGTGGCCGGGGGGGGGGTCAGAGTGGGGATGGAAGAGCTCAGAGGGGCTGCCTCCCGGGCGGGTGGTGGGTGCTGCAAGGCCACCCACTTCAGGTTCCGCCCCACCTCACTCTGTGCCCTCTTCCCTCTCCTCCTCACAGGCTGCGCTTAGCCAGGATGAACGAGGAGATGCGGGAATCCGAGGGACTCTACGGCCAGCCAGGTCAACCTTCCAGTAACCCCACTGAGATGCAATACCGGAAGTGCATCCAGGAGTTCATTAGCCTGCAGCTGGACGAGGCCTGAGCGGAGCCCTTGCTGGTCTGGTGGGAGGGGCTGCCCCCCCCCCGGCACTCTGCTGCCCCCAGGGCAGAGCCGGGAATGGCCCCTGCCTCTCTCCCCAGGAGAGACCCTGAGTGGGAAGCCGCCTCCTGCTCCAGCAGCCGCTTCTCGCTTCCCTCCCCCATGGGGCGCCAGGGCCAACAAAGCCCCTTTTGGCACAGCCCCCTCCAGAGAAATGCGGGGGGGGGACGGTTTGGCCACACTGCAAAGCCAGCTTTCCCCTCTTCATGATCGCACCGGAGAGTTGAGGGGTGGGCTGTGAAAGCCCCCTCCAGCAAGTATATTTCATGGAGGGGGCGGCGGCATTGGCTACTGTATGTGCTCTTCAGAGAATTGGGGGAGGGGGGAGAGATGGCAGCAGCCTGGGCAGGATCAGGCCCGTTGCCAGGAGGAATCAGCTCAGAGCGTTCCAGGAGCCTGGGCCAAGAAAAGTCAAATTCCGTCCCTGCCTAATTCTGCCTCCAAGTCCGCCTGCCTCTGCCTCCCTTGTGCTGCTTTTGCTGGCTGGGGTGGGGGGAGCCCCTGCCCCTCTCCCAGCATCCCTCGAGCTTGGGACCTTTTCCCAGGGGCTGCCGGGAGCCTTTTGCCCTGGGCATTGGGGTCGCCCCGTGGGCAAGGAGCTGACAGCCAAAAGCAAGGGAGGGCTGCAGTTGCTCAGGGAGCTCAGAGCCGCCCTTCCAGGGCCTGGCAGGAGCAGGGGAAGCTGGGTTTCCCTTCGCTCTTGCAAAGGTAGCCCAGGAGGGCAGAAATGGAGTTCCCCACCAGAGGCCCCCTTCTCTCGGTGGCCACTGTCACTGCAAGAGCACAGGGCTGGGCTTGGGAGTCCAGGGTCCCTGCCCAGAAACACAGCTGGAGGCCAGCCTGGCCATCCAAGCCTCCTGCCCTGGCTGAGTCCGGGCTCTGCCCTCCTCCCTGAAGAGGGGGCTCTGGCAGCTGTCCTCCTCCTCCCCTCCCTGGGGGCTCCTTCCTGGCCTGGCAAGGGCTGGTGCCCCCCGTCTTCCTCTCCCCTCCTGGCCAAGCCTCGCTGGCAGATCCACAGTCCCTGGGAGCAGGGGCCCTGGGGGGGCACAGAGGGTGCCCTCCCAGGTGTGGGATAGCCGCTTTGGTGCACGAAGCGACGCGCACACACTGCAGCTGGGGGCGGAGCGAGCCGCCAATAGCGGACATTCGGCGCACCGCCTGCCAATGACTGCCAAATGTCACCCCCCTTAGCGAAGACACCTGGGGGGTCCGCCCCACTGCACCCCCCCTCCTCCTCCCCTGGGAGCCTCCTGCACCCGCTTCTCTCCCCGGTTGGTGCCTTTTCAGTTGGGTTTGGGGAGTCAGGGCTGGAGAGCAGCGTGTCATTTTGCACTATTAATGCACACAGGTCCTTTGAATGTGTCTGGCTACTGATCCTCGAATGCAGCACAGTGTGAAATTCAAGGGCACTTTATGTTTCCTCTGTGTTCATATGAGAGTTTCTGTTTCTCGAGTGGCCAAAACTTGAACCCAAAGAGAATGTCCCCCGAAACAGCTTCTGCTGGGCAGCTGAGCTTTACCCATCCAGGAGCAGCAGCACCCTGTCTGTCTCAGAGCCTTGAATGTTACCAAAGAGCACCCAGAGGTGCCTTTGGTGGGGCAAGTCTTGCCAATGAGGCCTGGGCCCCTGGGAGGTCTTTTCCCAGGCCCACCTCGGTCCACGTAGCACAAATGCCCACAGCAGCTCCTGTTTTCCTTGGGGGAGACTGGCAAAGGGGGTGCCCAGTCCCCAGAGAAGCCGGCCCCCCTGGCTTGTGCCCCCCCCCCCGACTCTCCTGGGGCCGACGTGAATGTACTGCCAGCCTGCTCTGGCCCCAGTGGCAGTCAAGGCAATTTCAGGGCAGGCCAGGAAGTAGAAAGGGCTGCCCCCCCCCCAAAGCCAGGCGGCCAGAAGAGACTGCTCCACCCCGCGCACAAGAATCCCAGGTCTTCCCTGGCTCCACTCCCGGTTCCCTTGCTCAGCGCTTGGGGTCAATTTTGGGGTGCTCCTCTTGCCTGGGTTTGTGGGAAGCTGCTTTTTTCTCCCTTCCTCCCTTCCTTCCTCCCTCCCTCCCTCCCTTCCTCCCAGCATCTTTTGTTTCTCTAACGTTGAGCTTCCTCTCTCTGGCTGCCTTTGAGGTTCTCTCCTCAGGTAGAGTCTTGACTTTTTCTCAGTTGCTTTTCCAGGGCTTGGGAGCAGATGCAGGGCGGCTTTTCTTGGCGGAGAAACGGGACCCGTGAGCCCCCTTGTGGGACGGGCATTGCTTTGCCCACCTTGAGCACACTGGCAGGGGCAGGGCTTCTGAAGGCTTGCGGAAGCCCTTCTGGGCTGGAGTATTATGGTCTGGGAGGACCAGAGTCCTAACTAAAACCACCCTCAAGTGGTGAGGCTCTGGAGGGGGCAGGGGAGGCCTCAGCGCCTGGGCCCACTTGGGGGAACCACTTTGCAAGTGAAGTTTGCAGTGCAAGTTTTAGGCAAGCAGCAGGTTTTTTGGGGGGTGCTGGAGTAGTAGGAGATGCTCACGGTGGGAATGCTACCCAGCTGAAGCCTTGGATGCTCAGCCCGGTACCGGGATGCTTTTCTTGGGAGGGGCAGCAGATGGCTGGGCTGCTCTGCCGCCCCCTTCACTGAAAGTGCAATTCTCCAATGCCATTTCCCCCCTCTTCCTCTTGCAGGAGACGAAACCTACCAGGACATCTTTCGAGACTTCTCACAAATGGCGTCCAATAACCCGGAGAAGCTAAACCGCTTTCAGCCCTCAGATGTGCAGAAGCCCTGAAGGCTCCGGGGCTGGGGGGAGACCAAGACTACCCCCCCCCGCCTCCTCCTTGAAAGCTCACCCCTCCTTTTTATACATAAACGCTGCTTTGAGTAAGAGATGCTGTTTGCAGTTTGTTAGCTGTTAGTATCACCTGGAAAATGCAACCAGAGTGGCTGGGGAGGAAGGGAAGCTGGGTGTCGATATGCTGAGCGGGGGGGGGGGGGCTGCAGGAATCTCTTCCCACCGGGATCTCCCCCACCCCTTTTTGAGCTGCCTTCCCTCCTTGGGGGGGGGGGCTGATTGCAGGCAGCAGGGAGGAGCTTGTCTTATTTATGTCCTTCACAAGATTTATGTATCACTTGACGGAAATGAAACTTCAAAGCAGTTTTCTCTTGTATCTTCCCTGATGGTAACTTTCTTCCTCCCCCCCCCCAATCATCTGTGTCCTCAAACTGCCCCTGTAGCCTCCCTCTGGGGGTCAGCATTTCCCATCCAAGAGCAGCTTGGCTTGCAACTACTGACCGTGGTGCCTCAACACTGGAATGGTGGAGACTCTGGCCACATCACTGGGCTCACTCCCCCACCATGTTCCAACACCCACTTTTAAAAATGACTGTCCCAGGAAAACTGGTGGAATATATTAGTAAAGATTTATTTATTTTTTAAACCCAGCTTTTGACAAAGCTGAGCTTACAAAGAGGAAAAGTCCTGTTATGGGCCAGGAACTGGTTTTGCAAGAAGAGAAGGAATGTGGGGAGTTCTCCAAATGGAGAAAGTGGAGGCCCCCAAGGATCGGGATTGGGACCTGTGCTTTCTAAATGGTTCCTAAAGGATCTAGAGTCAAGGGTGAGCAGGGAGGGGGGCAAGTTTGCTGGTGATGCTAAATTGTTCAGGGTGGTTGAAAGAGAGATTGTGAAGCGCTCCGAAAGGACTTCTCCAAACGTAGCGAAGGGGCTGCAAGTGCAATTCAATGAAAACAAGTGCAAAGCGATGCATATCAGGACATACAAAAAAATCACATACAGTGGTGCCTCGCAAGACGAAATTAATTCGTTCCGCAAGTCTCTTCGTCTTGCGGGTTTTTCGTCTTGCGATGCACGGTTTCCCATAGGAATGCATTGAAAATCAATTAATGCGTTCCTAGGGAAACCGCCTTCAGACCAGGTCCGGGGACAGACTGTCCCCGGACCTCTTCTGAAGGCTGGGGGGGGGGACAAGGGCTTTTCTTCCCACCCCCAGCATTTTAAAAAACCCTGGGACAGCGGAGGACTTCTCCGCTGTCCGGGCGATCTTAAAATGCTGGCGGGCGGCATTTTAAAATCGCCCCGGGACAGCGGAGGACTTCTCCGCTGTCCGGGGCGATTTAAAAGCCCCTGGGAAGGCAGGCAGGGGGGACAAAGACTTTCGCCCCCCGCCCGCCTTCAGAAGGTGTTCCCGCCCCCCCCCCCGCTTCGGAGCAGCGTTCCGAAGCGGGGTGGCTGGGGCAGGTGTTCCCGCCCCCCGCCCGGCTTCGCAGCAGCGCTACGAAGCCCGGGGGCGGGGGCAGGTGTTCCCGCCCCCCACCCCGCTTCGGAGCACCGGGAGAAGCGATCTCCCCGCAGCCCCTTGCTTCAAAAGAGGTCCGGGGGCAGACCTCTTTTGAAGCAAGGGGCGGTGGGGAGAAGCGATCTCCCCGCCGCCCCTTGCTTCAAAAGAGAAGACCCGCTGTCCCCGGGGCAAGCTTCGTTTTGCGAAGCAAGCCCATAGGGAAATTCGTCTTGCGAGGCAACTCGAAAACGAAAAAACCTTTCGTTTTGCGAGTTTTTCGTCTCGCGAGGCGTTCGTCTTGCGGGGTACCACTGTACATGCTCTTGGAGTCTGAACTGGCAGTGACTGACCAGGAACGAGACCTCAGAACCACAGTGGACAGCTCCATGAAGATCCCGACCCTGCGTGCAGTGGCTGTGAAACAGGCAAATTCCATGCTAGGGATCATTAGGAAAGGATCTCAAAACTGCCCATCTCATAGTGCTATTATACAAATTATGGTGTGACCACATTTGAGATGCCAGGTACGGTTCTGGTTGCCTCACCTGAAAAAGGATATTGTAGAGTTTGAAAAGATTCAGAAAAGAGTAACCACAATTGGGGGGGGGGCAGTGGAACAACGCCCCATGGAGAAATGTTGCAGTGTCCGGAACTTTTTTTAGAGAAAGTGGAAAGAGGTTTTTCTTATAAAACTAGAACTCATGAACATCCAATGAACCTGAATATTGGAAGATTCAGGACAGAGAACAGACAGTCCTTCACAGGGCACAGAGGCAGAGAGGGCCACCAACCTGAATGACTTTAAAAGGACAAATTTATGGAGAGCTAGGCTAGAGGAGTTTGACCAAACTGCGGGAGGTAGTGGAGGACAGAGGTGCCTGGCGTGCTTTGGTCCAGGGGGTCACGAAGAGTCGGACACGACTAAACGACTAAACAACAACAACAGGCTAGAGGAGAGGAGAATGCTCTTGTGCCTATCGGGTCCCGTTTGTGGGCTTCTCAGGTAGCCGTGATGGAGAGGCAGGGGCTCCACAGCAGCCGCCCAGAACCACCTGTTTTGCCTCTGCAGAGCATCTCGGGGCCTGACGGGCTGCCTCCCCCCCCCCCGGCGAAGGGGGCCCTGCAGTGGCCGCGGCTCCTGCCCGTTGCCGCCTTGTCTCCTTCCATCTGAGGCTGGCTCGGGGGGGCCCTTCTTCGCTTGGCAGGGGCCCCTCCAGAGGCCCCCGGGCCAGAGTTCTCCAGGAGAGAAGAGCGCAGCGCCCACGCGGGCCTCCCGGTCTGCAACTGGACCGGGGCAGCCCAGGCTCCCCCCCCCGGGCCTCCTCCGGGGGAAACGAGGAGAGGGAGTGTCTGCTGGATCGGGCCAAGCCCCCCCCCCAGCATCCTGCTCTCGCAGCGGTGGCACAGCTGGATCCGAGCGCAAGGGCAGCTAGCAGCCCTCCATCCCGCTCTCCATTAATTTCCCCGATCCTCTTTTAAAGGCATCCCGGTTGCGTTGGGACCCTTCGGAGGAGAAGTCCCTTCTTTGGTCCGCCCTGGATGTTTCCCCGCTCATCTCCGCGGGATGCTGGCGCTCCCCTGCAGCCCTCGCCGCGCCGCGCCGGCTTTTCCGCCGGGAGCCCCTTTTCCTCCTCCTCCTCCTGCTGCGCTGCCGGGTCCGCCTCTTCTCGTCCTCCTCCTCCTCCGCCTCTTCCGCCGCCGCCGCCGCCGAGCATGGCGCGTCTGGCCGGGTCTCCGGCGTCGCTGCTGCGGCCCCCTCCCTGCGCGCTGGCGGCGGCGGCGGCGCTGGCCGTGCTGTGCGCCCTCTACTACGCGCGCTCGCCCGCCTCGCCGGAGCCCCGCGCCCCGCCGCCGCCGCCGCCCGCCTCCGCCCGGCTGCCCCGCCCGCCCCGGGTGCCGAGTCCGTCGGGGAGAGCAAGGCCAAGGCGGGCGAGGAGCTGCTGGCCGCGGCGGGGGCGGCGGGGGCGGCGGGCGAGGCCGAGCTGCACGTGCTGCTGCTGCTGGCCAAGGCCGAGCGCAACGCGGCGCTGCGATCCAAGGCCGAGGCGGCGCTGCGCTCCCTGGCGCGCTTCGCCAAGCTGGGCCCGCGCCAGACCCTCGTGCTGCACCTGCTCAGCGACGCGCCCAGCCGCCCCGTCGGGAAGGCCGTCCTCCGCGACGCGCTGCGCAGCGCGCAGTTCCAGCACAAGGTGCGCTCCGGGGGGGGGGGCGGGACGAGGGCAGCATCCCCAAGACGGGCGCCCCTCCGGCCACGACCGGGGCCGCTTGCCCTTGCGCTGCGCCTGGGCCGGGGCTCTGGCGCGGGCAGCCCCGCTTTCCCCGGCGCGCATCCCTCCCCCTGACGGCTGCTTCTCCCGCTTCCCGCAGGTGGTCTTCCACGACGTGGACGTGGTGGCCGAGAAGCTGCTTCCCCTGGTCGAGGCCATGCAGAAGCTCTTCAGCGCCGGCGCCGGAACCTACTATGGCGACTCCCTCTTCTTCCTCTCGCTGGCCATGCACCGCGTCCTGCCCAAAGGTCAGCAGGCAGATGGGCACCCCCCGTCCAGCTGCCCCCTCCCTGGCATCCTTGGCGCTCCTGCTTTAAGAAGCGCTTCCGCACGCCTGGCGCTTGGGGTCCAGGGGGTGAGCTCGGCCAGGGTGGCAGCGCCAGGTGAGATCGCCAAAGTCGGACTGAGTACGACCTGGCCACTGAGGCAGAAGGGGCGGTGCCCACAGCCACCGCCAGAGGATGGGGAGGGGGTGGCAGCAGGGGCTTCTCTCTCTCTCTCTGACCTAACAAGGAAAGTGTTCCACGTTGCCTCCCCCTGCCATTGGCAGCAGAAAACCCTGCCCCCCCTTTCATCTCAGTGCAGCAGGGAGAGGGGAGAAGGTGCAATATACGGTTACTGAGCCCCCCTGACCCACCCCCTGCCCCCTACCTGACTGCCATGTATGGTCTTGGTCCCTGGCCTCTTCCTCTGGGTGGGGGGCTGAATGAAGCCTCCCTTGGGGGGCGGAAGCTGTGCCTGGGGAGGACCAAGGGAGCAGGGAAGGTGCTTCAGAGGCTCCTCTGGTTCCTGACTCCCCCACAGAGATTTCGCGGATCATCCAGGTGGACCTTGATGTGGAGTACAGGACCAACATCCGGGAACTCTTTGAAGAGTTTGACAACTTCCCGGAAGGGGCCGTGATTGGCATCGTCCACGAGATGCAGCCCGTCTATCGGTAGGTGCCAGCAGTAGGTGGTCCGGAGGGGGGGGTACTTGGGATCCTAACAGAAGCTGCACACAGGCACAAGGGGTCTCAGGGGTGGCTTCCCAGAATCCCACCCCCCTACACTCAGGACAAAAGATTTGAGAAGGGAAGTTGGCCAGAAAATCTGTGGGGAAAGTGAGCTCTTGGGGTGGAGATCGGGGGCCCAGAGTGTGAAACTCAACAGGAGCTCACTTTTGGGGGGGCGGGCGGTTGTCAATTTCATTTGCTTCTTACAAACACCTAGTAGGACATGGGGG